CGGGAGGTCACTATAAACCGTGTTCACAATAGCGGGGATGGACTGTATTTATTACTATATACAGAGGACCCCTTTAAATTTAAGTGATGGGGCACACAATGTGTTTCGCCCCTTTTGAAATTCAGACATTTGCAAAAATAAATTCAAGTGAAATTAGTAATTAAAAAATAAAATATATTTGTTAAATTTTGAAGCTAATTTTCAAATCGAAAACTTTATATTCCTCTAAAATTTAAGTGGGTGGTTGAATAATGTGCTTTGCCCAATTTTAAGACATTCGCCAAGAAAAATTAAATCTTTCTCACCTTTGAAGGTATACATGGAATAATAAAATTTATTTTGTTCTGAAATTAAATGGTTGAATAATGTGCCTTTTGACATTTAGAAGAGTAAAGTAAATGTAGAAAAAATATTTTAATTCCAATTTTCACTCTATTTTCTAGGTAGAAAACTTTATTTTCTTTCGAAATTGTGATGAGTGGGCAAACAAAGAGCTGAAATTTCAACGTGTGCGAAAATAAGTTCTTGTAAAATTGGTAAATTTAGATGAAGCTTTTTTCCAAACAGAAAACTTTATTTTCCTCTAAAGTAAAAGTGAGGGGGCGAAGAATCTGCTTCGCATTTTATGAAAATTGACTGAATAAAATCAAGTAATTAAAGCTGGTAATTTTAGAAAAAAGTTGTTTTTTTTAAAAAAAAAAAAAGAAAACTTCAACACTATTTTCTAAATAGAAAATTTCATTTTCCTCTCAAATTAAATGAGGGGGTAGAAAACTTCATTTTTTTCTGATATTATAGTGAAGAGGGCATAAATGTGCTTTGTATTTTCTGAAATTTAGGCATTTGCAATAATAAAGTCAAGTAAAATTGGTTATTTTTTTAAAGAAAAGAAAAAAAAAAAAAACTTTGAGGCTATTTTCCATAAAGAAAAATTTATTTTATTTTCCTCTAAATCTAAAATGAGGGGGCGAAAATTGTATTTCACCCCTTCTGAAACTTAGAAATTTGCTGCAAGAAAGTAAAATAGAATTGGTAATTTCAGAAAAAGAAACTACTTTTTTCAACTTTGTAGCTATTTTCCAAATAGAAATAGAAAACTTCCCCCTCTGAGAAAATTCTTATGTTTTGTTAAAAAAAAATTTCTACAAATGGCAACTTTTAATTTATTAAAAATTTTTTTTAGCTGAAATACATCAAAAATAAAACAAGTGTTAAGAATGGAAAGAGCAATAAAATGCAACTTTCATTGACTAATATACATTTTAAATTATCTTTTGACTTTCAACACCTTCATACCACCCACAGTTATACGACTCCGCAATAAATAGCCATCTCGTTTTACACTAAGGAAAATGTCCATTTGCTGCTTTTAATTATCTTTTCATTTTTATGACCCTTGCCTCTTTTGTACTTTTTATAAAATGTCACATATTTACAGAACCATCTATATGTCAGATAAGTTGTTTTAAACAAGCACTTATCTAGAAGTTCTAACTTTATAATTTTTATGTATACTTTTTTTGTTTTGCGCACTGTATATTTCTAATTGAATCAGATGTTTATATATTATGAAAATTTTCTTGTCTTTGCCAAGCTTAAAAATGATTTATATTCAATTTTTTTACAATCGTTTTATTCGATAACAAAATCTTTAACTGGAATATTGTTTGTTTCATTTGCGAGTAATTTTGTTAAAGTAATCTGTTTCTCATGCATATTAAATTATGATTGGGTTAGAAATTATTTCATAGCAGTAATTTGTGAGCTGGGAAAGTTTTCATGGCAAGTTTTCTTTCTCTAGGATCAAAAGTATGATGGCATGTCTTTGGATCATCCTCGGAGATGTTTCCCAGACCGTTGAATAGCACATTGTACATCTCTAATGCGATGCTTTTTTTTAATGAAAGTAAAGAGTATATATTAAATAGAGAAATGAGACAATAGCTTTAAATCATGTTTGATTTCGATTAAAATATATTTAAGAATTTATTCTAAATTAATGAAACTTACTATAGAGGCAAGAATAAATGAATTTGGAATAAATAGAAGCCCACTAAAAGGTCATTTAGAATTTTTTTAAATCTATAAACCTGTCTAACTGCAGAAGCTAAAGATTTCACTTCGGCGTTAATATTTAGTTCTAGTATTTTTTAAAAATTAAAAGTTATTACAATTCTCAAATACACCATCTGGGGTCATATGTCTTGACCCTCCTTCCCTTTCCACAGTTGTATGGGAATGTACTACATTATTTTCTCCTTTTATAATATTTTTTAAATTAAAATGTCAGGAATATTTACGTAAATTCTCACGATGCCTTTTTTTAAAAAAATATGTTTAATGCAGTTTTCAGTTCCATATAGTTCACTAACTTAAAAGCAGCGTAGAGCAGAACTCTCTACCTATGGCAACGCTTCGCATGCGTTCACCATTAGCGTGTGGAGAGTCATAGGTGAAGGAAGTACTCTGACAGACATTCGTCTGGATGTGTGGCGGTGACTATGGTAACGAGTTATGATTATTTTAAGTAGGGGTGAGGGTCCCTCTTTAAGACTGGTTTCGGCGAGAGAAAATGAGACCTCTTTCTTCGGTCTATTGTGTTAGCTCTAAAGTGAAGAGAAATAAGTATTCGGTCCTGAAACATCGTTTAGATTGTTCGATTTTATCTTCTTTAAAAGAGTCAAAATTTGATATAATTTTTACATTTTTTGTTGTTTTTTAAAAAGTATATATTATGCAAAACAATAGCCCAAAACGATTTTTTTTTATTTAATTTATTTTACAAGATATTAACAATTAAATTTTAAAGCTCTTTTTAATTAAAAAAAGTAAATATCTAAGGATAGATTTTAAGAAAATGTATCTCATTTTACGCGGAAATAAAGTTTTTGATAAAATAATTATAATAAAACAAATGTTTAAAAAAATTTAATTTTTATTGCAAAATTAAGTTGTAAAATGAAAAACAAAAATGTCGTTAATGTCGTACAAAGTTCGAACAAAACCCATTTTAAAGTAAATTTTATTCTGAACAAAATAGCTTTTCAAAAAAAATGGATCGTAATTCCATAAAAAGTTATAGCTTTTTTCGCGAAACGCTGCACCGCGGCGCGCTCTGCCACTCCACTCCGCTGATCACTTAATCGCGCTGTATCAGTTGATTTGAAGGGAGTTTAAAAATCTCAACTAATATTATGAATAATAACTAGGTGAATAATATTATGAATAATTAGTTATTTATAATTTATTTGCATAATTTTTTGAGTTCAAACTTGGAACTGGAAGAATATATTTTATTTATAACTATTTTATCAAGAACTTCCGCGTAAAATGAGATACAATTTTTTAAAATCCATTTATTTTATCCTTAGATATTTATTTCTTAATTAAAAAGTGCTTTAAAATTTAATTGTTAACACCTTGTAAAATAAATTAAATTAAAAACGTTTTGGGCTATTGTTTTGTGTAATATATACTTTTNAATGACAAATTAAAATTGTTATTTCTATGTAATGATTGATAAATAGGATATGTATGGAAATTGTATAAAATTGTTTAAAGCAAGCTCAATGTTTTATTAATAAATAATTCATCTATAAATTTATCATACATAGTAAACTAGTTATTAAGAAGAAAAAATTTGCTAATAAAAACTGTTAGAATTATTTTTTTGAAATAAATAGTGGGAAAAACAACAGGTTACATTAAAATACGGGTAAGAAAACGTAATTTAAGCAACAAAAAGAAAACTTAGATAATTTCAGATGGTTTGATGGGTGTTGATAAAAATCCTCGTTGATAGTTTTAAATTTCATCCTATTTGCGGTAACTTGCTTTCAGTTTTAAATAATAAAAATAAATAATAAAAACAAAGATATTTAATATTTTTTCGGCACAGATATCATGAACTATTTCTATTTTCAGCGAAAGTTTTATCTTCTTTTAAAATCAGAGTTCACTTCACTTTTTTCAGAAAACTCAATAAAAGAAATTAACTGCTTTAAAAAATGTGCAAGTTTAGAAATTAAACCATCTAACAATCAATGAACATTCATAATAAATAACGTAACATTAAAAAAACCTGCTCTACCCTTAATGTCAGAATTTGTTCACTTTTTTTCTTCTTTTTTTTCCATTTGTATATAAAAGATAGCAATCGATTGAGTAAAGAGAATCTTTTTAAGTAAGAAAGAAATATCCATGCGAATCTTTAAAAAAGTTATTGAATCAGATTAAATATGTCTCCTACTGGTGGCTGAGTCAGAGTCAGCCAATCTGGTATACTTCCCATACAAGCTATCATCAAAGCTACCCTCCCTAAAATGCCCACTTCTTGTTTCCATAGCACCAGACTGTCGCAGACTTTGTGACGGTCAGAGTACCTATCGTAGACAAACATTACGTTAATTTTTGTCTTTATTTTCAAATAGATTCAAAACTTTTAAGTTAGGAAACATTGAACTGATAACTACGACATGTAACATTGTTCCAAAAGAAAGCGTAGTGGAAATTTAAAAAAAATATTTCTGACAATTAAATATGAGAAATATTAAGAAAGAAGACGTTGCGATCGTGAATTCGAAAATTAAGGTGGTAACTAATGTACTTTTTTCCTATTCGCGATCGCAACACTGGATCGCAACCTGATTGTCATAGCTTGACCCTTTCCTCTTCTTCCCTTTTCAGTTGTATAGGAATGTACTATCCTTAGGATATTTTACCCTTTCTTAATATTTTTCGTATCTAATTATCACAAGCATAATCTATAATTAATAATCTACTTGAAAATCAGGACAGAAACTAATATACTACCCTTGCCCAATGACTCTTCGCACGATGATGATGAAAACTTGTAAAGTGTTGCCCTCTATGATATTTTCATCAATACAGAGTTCTGCTGATGATTTAATAGCTTTTAAGCAGAAGTAAACATTCAGAAACTTTAAGCGCAGAAGTAACCAGTCAGAAACTTTTCAATACTGAAGTGAACCAAATTCAAAATAAACATTTCAGAAAATGAAATTTTTGGCTTGAATTTTTTTCCTTTTCAAAACGATATTCTAAATTCATTTCGATTTAAATAGCAGAATTTTTTTATTATGAATTCTGTAAAATTAATGTTATTAAAATCTGTTTGGAATGCTGCTTTTCGAAATAGTATCAAAACCTATTGCTCGTTCAGTCACAGAAAACAAATAAATGATGAGTTACGAATTCGTCTAGCTGCAGCATACCGTGGGTTAGATGCTTATGGAATGAATGAAGGAATATGTAATCATTTATCGGCTATTGCGCCGTCTACAGAAACTGACGAAGATATTATGTTAATTATACCTTTTGGATTACATTGGAAGGAGGTTGGAGCAATTAAAATAATTTTCTTTATCTTCGAGATATTCATTCCCTATATTAGCAAAATATCCCTTATTAAGTTTGACTCATTATTATGCCTAGGGTTTTCAGTGTGCTACCTTAACCATTGCTTATTAGCAAACTCTAGATCTTGATTTTATAGCTGTGACATTGAAATATTAATGTATTTATAAAGTTGTAAAGTTTTACATTATCCCGCCCTTCTATTTTTGGTGATATTCTCTCAAAAAATATATAAAAAAAAAAGACTTGTGAGATTTTCTAATCATTAGAAATCTAGATAAAAATAATAGAAAGATGGAGAATTTTATTCAAGGTACAGTGTTGAATTCAATGGTCTCCCAATTCTACATTCTGACCGATAAAATTGAAGTATAAATTGTATAATTAAAAACCTAATCAGTACCCATGTTATAGTTTCAATAAAAATAATTAATCAAACAAGTTTTTTATTGTTTTTTTTAAAGTTTTTATATACTGATGGATTCATACGCTTACACCATATTAAAGCAAGCTTTTTTTAAAAATGAAATGACTAGGCTGTCTCTCTGTAAAGTTAAGAGGAAGTCATAATTTGAACTATTATTTTAAACATTATTCTAAATTTATTCTAATAGAGTAATAAACCTTTATTTTTTTTATGAAGCATTTTTTTCTCTGTAAAACTTTTTTCTGTATGACCCTGCCAAAAATGTTCTCATACTGAAAATAACTTAGACAGACCCCTACTAAAGGACCACCTAGGGGCCCAAAAACTTGATATGGTTGACAAATTTGAGAAAAAAAAATCAAACTTTAGAATTACATAATTCATGTTATGGTACGCATCGAAAAATTATTAATTACATTATAACACCCTTAAATTATTTAGGTTCATTAGCCTATAATGATTGAAAATTAGTATTTATTAAAATTAAGTGAGAAAAAGCTAAAATAATGTCAGTAAATTGATTCAACATAGAGATTAAAATGCTGAGACCAACAGAATTAATAAGAAAATGCAGAGAAAGTAGTAAAAGCTAACAAAATATATAAAAAATTAATTGTATGAAAATTATAAAATTTTAAATAAAGTTAATTCTTAAGGAGCATAAAATATTTTTTCTTGATTAACAATTATACTGTAGGTATATTAATTCCAATAGCACATTGTGTAAATGTGAAATTTTAACATTTAAATTTAAAAATTTTTGTTGCAAACACTTTCTGTAATTCCATTAGAATATTATGTGTCAAACAATAAAATTGGTTGTACAATTTTTTAAAAATAGTATACATGGAATTCAATGCAAAGAAGCTATTTTTCATTACTATTTTGTAAATTCCAAACGTATTTCAAATCTACAAATTTGTCACCCATGTGTATGATTTTGGCAGCATTTCTCAAAAGTTGTTGCCATATTGGCATGAACCCTATTTGTTGATAAATTAAAAAATATCTGATCCTTGCATATCAGAGTTAATTTTGCCTTAGTTAGAATCCTACTTGATATATGTTACTGAAGAAATACTTCTATACTAATACATGTTTTCATATTTCTCAAGAAATACTTAAAGAATAATTTTATAACTTCAGAAGTATTTAGATCATGCGATTTCTCATATAGATCAAAGTAGTTTAGAGATTTGATGGACTGCCAATAAATTACAAAAAGAAAATAGTGTTTTTGAACACCCTATCCCAAAAAATGTGCATTAAATTTTTATCTTATAACAATTATTTTGGTTATTATATGCCATAGTTGCACAAAATTTTGCAAACCTAGCTTAAATTTTTATGGATTCTTTTTATAAAAAGCTAATTTTTTATCTTAAATTTTTTTGCTATAACTTCAAAAATATTTAATAAAATTAAAAAAAATTTTCAGAGCATTTTAAAACTGATTAAAAAATTTTACTTTGAAATTTAATAAAAATTTCTTAAACAGTACAATATATAAGTTATAAAAGTAGCTCTTATATACTGCACATGGTTCGAAAAATTTAATTTTTCTTTCCTCATAATTTTGTACTGAATTGTATATTTCAACTAATGAAAAAAGTCTTATTTAAATATCTTAAAAGTTAAAAAAGTTTCAAGCAATTTTCAAAATAGTTTTTGTACTTTTTAAAAGAAAGTTCAAAATGATTTAAGGAGTTTTAGACAAATATTAAAGTGTATTATAAAGCAAACTTAATTAACAAATGATAATACATTACAATAAACATTCATACTCCAAAATATGGTTGTGTAAAAAAAATCACTAAAAAAAAGATACTTTTATGGATTCCCAAAAATGTTGGTGTCATATTCAACTAATCTCATTTAATAGTACAATATAATGAAATTTCTGGAAAACCCTTATCATTTTGAGTTTTCTTTTAAAAAAATTCGAAAACTACTTAAAAAATTGCTTGAAACTTTAAAATTTTTTAAGATATTCAAGTAGAACTTTTTTTATTGGTTGCCAAATACGATTGATTCACTATAAAATTAAGAAAATTTTTTCTGTGCATGTGCCACGTAAAAGAACTACTTTAATCAATCGTGTCTTGTGCACACATTTTAAAGCATTAATTTTTTAATTAATTTTAAATGACTACAAGAACTTACTTATATTTTATTGAATATTTTTAAAGCTAAAGTAAAAAAAAAAAAAAAAAANAAAAAAAAAAAAAAAAAAAATGTAGACAAATTTTTAAAAATTTTTTTTTTATAAAAATGTCTATATTTCTATAATAATTTAAGCTACGTTTACGAAATTTTGTTCAATTATTGCAGTTAAGAATCAAAATAAGTGTTACAAATTTATTGCTACATTTTTTGGCATAGGGTGGTACAAAACACTATTTTCCGTTTGTAATTTATTGTTGGTCCCTCAAGCCTCTAAACTTTAAACTTTACCTCTAAGCTTTAAATTTTATTGATAAGTAAGAGAAATCGCGTAACTTCAATACTTCTACATTTAAAAATTAGTTCTGTAAGTATTTTTTGAGGAAGATCAAAAAATGTTTTAGTATAGAAGTGTTTTCAAAATTTTGTCTAACCCCTGTACATGAAAGACTAAATGTATAAAAATTCTAATGTATGTTCATAAATTGTAACAATATAGAATTATGATTCTACAGATTATGTTTCTATAATGATTAAAACTTATATGTATGCCAATTTTATAGGTTACTCCATCTTCTCTGATTGGTATCAATGGAAAAAATAAAGTTATTGAAGGAGAAGGGGAACCAGAATTGACTGCTTTATGTATCCATCGGGGAATTTATGACAAGCGTCCTGATGTAAAAGCAATAATGCATACACATATGCCTTATGCTACTGCCTTAAGTATGATTTTTTTTAAAATTAAAAATTTTTTATAAATGTAGTTGTAAAACATATTGCAACCTTTTTAGCCTTTTTTATATGCATACTTGTAGCATTTGGATGTAAAAGCAATAATGCATTCTCATAAAGCTATATGCTATAAAAGTTTAATTTATAAAAGTGACTATCATTAAAAAATAAATAAATAAATAAAATGCATAATTTTTAGTATGCCTATTAGTATGCAATTGTGTATTAGCATTAAATTTCTAAATTTATTTACTAATTAAAAAAGAAATTTTTTTTAATAGTTTTGAAAATTTATGATTTCATTACATACAATAATATATTGTATTGAAGTCTTACTTAGTTTGTTGATATCATAGAACCTATGTTAAAATGTAATAAAACCTCAAAATAACAGCTTTTATTAACATTAGAAAAAAGTTTTTATTCCTTCGTATTATTATAGGTTTATAGTTGTATTTTTTATCAAAAATAATTTTAATCAAGTCAACTCTATTTTTTCTGAGCTTTGATTTGAGCCGAGGCATAAATTTGGCATGAACTAGGTCCATGACAAATTAAGCTTTCAGTTCAACTCAAATTCTTTAGAAGACGGGAAATAAATTAGGAGTTTAAAATCTAGACACAAAAAAGGATATATTTCTAAAAGTCATAATTACTATTACTGTTAAAGATATATCAGTTTACGTTATTCACTAATGTAATTGTTTCTGCCATAGAAAAAAGAAAAATGATTCATTTAAAACACGTTACATTTTTATACATTGACATTCATTATTTTAATAATTTTTACTTTTGAAATATGTATTGTATGTTAGAAATTAATAAGAATTTTCTGAATTTTCCATCAATAGAATGATTTTGTCACATAAACAAGAACTAACAAAAGTTGTAAAATTTTTGAAGCGAGCTTTTAGAGTTATTTTGACTTTTTTGCATTTACCCCAAATTTAAAACTAGATTCCCATAAACATTGCTGTTTTTTAGTGTTATTAGTCACATCTATGTCTTTTCATAGTAAAAAAGTTAAATATTTAATTAAAAAATCATATTCAAAATGTTAAAGAAATAAATTTCTTTTAGTTGTAATTCCTATAATTTAATGAAACAAATTATGAAATAAGCACTTAAAGCAGTAGGCTATATCTGTATATATTATTAAGCAGTAGGAAAATTAATATTGTNGTTTCCGGAAATCAAATTTTCAAAAGTGGAACTTAAAATCACAGTTTATTTTGTTTGTAAGGTAGAGCCAGATACATTTTTTTATCAGTAAATAGTTATAATCATAAACTCTAGAAAGTAAGACATATTTGTAAATTTTAATTACTTCTCCTAGAAAAACCTAGTTTAAATTTTTTTCTAATTTTTCAATTTAAATTTTTTTTTTTAAACTCGGGAAATTTTCCGGAATTTTGACTTGGGCTCACAATCACCCCTGTATATATTAGTATTGCTTTTGAATTCAAACATTAAAATACTATCTATCAATTGATACGATTTTTCAGAAACGAAGCAATGAACTTTAATTTTTTTTCCTTCTAATTCTCCTGCTTATAATAATTCAAACATAAGTAGCAGAATAATAAGTTGAAAAAGTTAGTTGCCAAGGGAATTTTTTTAGTCATCTGAACTACCCAATGCTAGGATTTGTTGGTTCCTGCACATAAATCTTTTTTTTTTTTTTAAAACTTTCAAATTAGTAAACATTTATTACATAGAAAAATATTTTTCAGCATTAATTCATTTTCAGCTTGCCTTAAAGATCCGAAATTACATATGATACACCAAAATTCAGCCCGGTTCTTTAACAGAGTCGCTTATGATGTTTCATATGGAGGACTAGGAGAACAATTAGAAGAAGGACATCGCTTGGGTATTGTTCTTGGAAACAAAAATGTTCTATTTATGGGGAATCATGGTGTTCTGGTAGTGGCTGATTCTATCGACATAGCTTTTGATGATATGTATTACTTGGAAAGGGCAGCTATGGTTCAGGTGAGTGCCAGTATTTTTTGTTTTTAGGATTAATTGTGCTGCAAGGAAATTAAACTATTTAAAGAATTTTCAGTAAGTACTACTCCCTTTTTGGGGGCTATAAAATAAAATCTTGATAATATTAAATTAATTATTTTTTTGGGGCGACATAAATTTTTATTAGTTTTGAACATTGAAGAAATAGTGTCAGTTTTTCTATCAGACATGAAAATGTGCTGTCTCTGAAAAATCATTTTTCTTGAAGATTTGAATTCTTAGTCCTCAAATTCTGTGGTTCATTGCAATCTGTAGAATGTAGACCCAATAATTTGGTGAAGTTTAAAACTCTTAATGTCACTTTTTGTTTATTCCTTATTTCTTGAAGGTTTTATGAGAATCACAAACTTTTGTGCAAAAGTGTAAAACTTGTTCACCCAAGATGTAAAAATTTTAAATTGTAATATATGCATATTTTTAAATTTTTTATCTGCACAATTTTAACTGATAGATTCCAAAATTTAAAAGGAATTAGTTAAATAGTTCTTGAGAAATAAAAATACAATAAATATAACGTCTTTGGGATGAAAAATATGAAATTAACATTAAGGTGTCCAAACTTTCATCATAATATGCTGTCCTGACAAAACTATTGGATCCAATTTGCCAGACTGCACTTACCCTCATACTTTGAGAGTCAAAATTTCAAATGCCTTAAAGAAAGATAGGTATATTGTGAGGAAATACATTTTTGTGGCTGATTTCATAACTTTAAATATTGTTTGCATTAATTAATTGGCATATTTAAAGTAAGGTCCTCAAAATCACAAATCACACCTCAATCACACACCAAATTAAAATCATATCTCAATATGTGAAAATTCAATCATTAAGGTAAGGTCCTCAAAATCACAAATCACACCTCAATCACACACCAAATTAAAATCACACCTCAATATGGGAAAATTCAATCATTAGATCAAAAGTTATTAAGGTGTAACTTTTTTTACTTTTGAGTACTGTACATAGTTTATAGTAATGATATTAATTTAAAGAGAAAAAAAATTCAGAATTTATTTTTTTCTTTCTAAATTTCCACGTCTATGCATATTGCAAATAGATTAATTTGCCCCCAAAAAGTAATATATGTCTTATTTATTTGATTCAAAGAAAATCTTTGATTTTTAGGTGTTAGCTGCCAGTACTAACAAGGAACTAAGGGAATTGGATGAAAAAACAATTATTATGACATCTCAACAAATTTGGAGCTCATTACCGAAATATGCTACAAGTCATCTAAATTCAATTATTAGACAATTAAGTATTTCTTGTTCTGACTTTAAGATAAAGTAATGGTGTACATGCTCTGTTTATTTTAAAGTATGTAAATTCTTGTTTTATATCTATTTGAAATCAAGAGTTGATTTTCTTATTGGTATAAATTATTACTAAATAATATTTTACAGCTTTACAATTGTTAATATAATACCTTTATCCATTGTTAAAGTTTTTGATTTGAAATTCAAAATAGTGATTTTGATGATATTTTATGAATATTTCGAATGATATTTTATGAAATTGTGCAAATTTACAGCAAAATAGATAAAGAAATCTATTTTTTTATATATTTTCTATTGCTTTATTGATGTGTATTTGTCATGCATAACAGGTAAAATATAAATTTAATGTCTTCAAACTCTATTTAGTTTTTTTAAAAAAATATTTTGGTAATTTAAGTTTGTTAGTATTAATATTGTAAATCTTTAAGACATTTATCAGATTTATTTGTGAATCAAATACATTTATTCTATTTTTATTATTTAAGTTTCTTATGGAATCTACGATTCTTTTCATTATTATTTGGTCAAGATTTTGATTATATAAATTGTAATAAATAGTTAAAAATATTCATTGTTTAGACATCAAAATTTGAAAGAGATATCCCTAACTTAGCTGTTAAAATGATGCATATTTGAGTTAGTTAATCAGTTAACAGTATATTGTTGAATGTATTGCTGACTAAATTTTTTAGATTAAAAAAAAAATTATCAAGAAAAATTGACTGAATTCAGGAAAGCAAATATAAATAGGCTGAAGATTAAAAATATTGTATTTGAATTCCCTAACAGTGTTGTTTAAATAATTTTGATGATATTGAAACATTAAAAATTAGGTTAATTTTGAACTTACACTTTGATGCATAAGTGATAACTTGGAGATTTTTATCTAAAAAAATGCACTAAATTTATAACTAGTAATCTCAGTAACTAAATTTTTTAAAACTCATGAGAATGAGAAGGTTCAGGGCAGAAAATTGTAAAAGTTTAAGGGGAGTATAAGTTTTCCCTCACTGTGTTGAATATAGGTTTGTTTGTTTAACAGTAAGAAGAAACCTGGTACTAGGCTAAGATGAACATAAAAGTATTTTATATGATTTTGATGTGTGAATCATTCAGTTCTACTGATCACACTCTAACAACTACAGGATGGAAGAAGAAAACAGTTCTTCTTCTTGTTCTCTTCATCTTCGCTTGTTTTTTATGCTAAAAATATCTCTCTAATTCCATTTTATGTTCTTCAATTTCGAAATATGTGAGGATTGCATTTCGATGAAAAAAAGTGTGCGATGCTATTGAAAAATTTCAAAGTTTAACAGTTTTAGTTTTATTTTTCTTAGTTTAACAGTTTTAGTTTTATTCTTTCCCAGGTAGTTTTGTCTTTCTTATTTACTTAAATTAATATAATACTTATTTTATATATAATTATTGAATATATGATTCTTAAATACATTATTTTATTTGGTAGGTAAGTTAATTCAGCTATTTAATTTAATTTTTTATTTTTGAAAAAATAATTGTGGTCTAAAGGAATAATAAAATAGAGACAATTGAATTTGCTTGTGTCAGGTGACTTTACACTGGCAACTTTATTCGCCTGTGTCAGTGAAATGGTACCTTTTATTTTTATATTTTATTATTTGGTATAAAATGAGCTTTTTTTTTTTAAAAATCTTAATTTATGTAACTAAAGTTACATGAAAGACAGTTTGATCCTTACAGTTTTGTAAAAGTATAAAAAATCTTTTTTCTGCCATTTATTTATTCTTAATTTTTCACCCAAAAGATTTTGTTTCGAAACTGTTTAAAATATAAAACAAATCTATGCATCAATTGGGTCATAGTATTTTAATTTTTAAAGTAATATACTAAAAATCATAAAATTTAAAATTTTTTTTTAAATTGACTAGTTATAATCAATTTATATTTTTAAACTTTTTTTTTTATTACTTGTATTAACAGCTTCTTATATATTCTTTTATAAATTAAGTTGCATAAAAAATTGTATTAATATTTAAAAACGTATATTAATTTGTCATTTTATCAACTATATGATAAATCAAGTATGAAAGAAAATTTTACATTTTTATTCCAAGTGTTAGAAAGGGTACTAATAAAACATCACACATAAAACAACTGCAGAAATGATTCAATAATTTAATGATCAGAATAATAATGTGCAGAGATAATTACAAATATTCTATTTCCAATATTTTTAAATTCAAATTCTATTTTACAGAAATAGTTTATATGAATAAGAAGATTTATTTATGTTTTGTTATATACATTATTTATCACCACACAGGTCCTAAGAAAATGGCATTTTTAGTATGTGTAAAAATATTTGTGCCATATTGGTAAAGCTTTTACATTATTTTATACAATTGTTGCTTGGTTGAAAGTATGAACAAGGCTACAATTACAGTCAAATTTAGATAGCAATGTATGATCTATAAAATGAATATAAAAGTAAAGTTGAATGGTAGGAATCAACCAAGGTTTCATTTAGTGTTACATTTTATTCCTGTATGATTGTTTGATAGTCCTAGTGTAAATTGTAATTGATGATTTTGTTAAAATGATATTCTAAAACATCTAGATAAAAATTTCTATGCTTACACAAATTTAATTTCTTATCAATTCATTATTTTATATTACTTTTTACTTCATAAATTTGTATTATTTGAAGTGTATTTTAAAAGAAAAATATTTAGTATAAGTAAATAAATAAACAATCATATCAATATAACAACAATAAATATCAAAATAACAACAATAAATTAACAATCAATGGTAGAATCAAAATAATCTATAGAAATAATTATGAAGAAGTTATAAGAAAGAATTTATATGTTAATTTTAGTCATTCTTTTGTTTATTAACTACTGTGGAATTCAATCAATACTAAAAAAACATTTGAGGACACTTGTTATTTCTTAACATTTCTTTGGTAAATAGCATTGTAAAATATTTTCTAATTTAGGATTTATTTAAATCCTAAAATTTGATCTGTGATAATTGTCATAAAATACAATTAATTGTTAATTTTTTTTCTCGTCTGTTTTTTATTTTACTTTAAATATAACTTTATCGATCTTTATTGTTACTGTACTTACTTTTTAAACTAAGTCATTTAATAGTTATATTTACTAGATTTATTACTTTTGCTATAATGTTTTCCTGTGTTTTTAATATGTGTTTAACTTGTTTTCTTTGAAATAAAATAATTTATCTTTCTAAATATTTTTTTCTTTTAAATAATTTTATTTTCCGTTAATGTTTTATTAATGTAAAAAGAAGCCTAGTGATAAAGATTTAGAAAAAAATTAGTTGTTTAATGTGGTATATTTTTTCTATTAAATTTTTTATTTATTTCTTATTTAATGAAATGGTGTTGTAACTGATATAACAGTTATCATTGTTCTTATAAATTTTATTTCTATCTGTTCCATGTGAAAAATTATTACTTAAATTTTAATTTAAAACGTTTATAAAAAGAAATGTTATTTTTTTGTAAAGAAAATACTTACATTTTTGTCTTGTTTTTAACACTTATTGGAATTTAGTAAAGTTTTTCTTAATTGTTTTTGGGATGGGAATGCTGTAATGCCACTCTGATTGAGATTATGCACAGCTAAATATTTTGATACAGAATTTTGTTTAAATTTAGTAACGTCTTTCTGAATTCTTTTTGGGATGGGAATGCTGTAATGCCACTTTGATTGAGATTATGCATAGCTAAATATTTTTATACAGTATACTGAATTTTGTTAGAATTAAGTAAAGTTTTTCTGAATTCTTTTTGGGATAGGAATGCTGTGATGCCACACTGATTGAGATTATACATAGCTAAATATTTTTATACAGAATACTGGATTTTGTTAAAGTATTAATTTCTATCGCTGATGTGAATATTACACCCTGATTTTATTTTAAATCACGTTTATGGAAAGTATCTTATTTTATGTACTTTCCTTATGGAATAAAAATAATCAGTTTAATTTATTGCAATTTAGAAAGAATGGAATAGTTCATAATTTACATTTGTAATTGATTTGTTTTGTATGTTTTTTTTTATCCATGTTAATTTATTAAAATATTCTATTAAATTCCAAGAATAAAATAGATTTCTAGAAGTTCTAAATTATATTTTTACTAATTCTATAGTGTCATTATTTTTAAAGTATGTAATGTTACTATGTAAGTTAAATACTTAATTTGTCTTTTTATAGTTTTGATTTAGTAGAAAAATATTTATTAGTAGAAAATAAAGACTAATGTAGAAGGCATAAGTTTTCAATTTATATCTTATTAAATTATGACTTTCAAATTTACTATCACAGCTTTTTATGTAATAAGCCATATCTACATAAAAGGCTAACATTTAATCCCAAAATACAAAATTTGACTCAAAATATACCTTGTAAGGAGATCTAACTTACATATTTATCATAATTCTAAGATTAATAACTGTAGAATAATGGTTCAATTTATGTTACCTTAATGCTTTTTTTTTTAAAATTTAGTAATTTTTGTTGCTTTTGTTAGATCTGAAAAGTTCATTGAGAGAAAAAAGTGATTTTAGCATTAATAAAATGATTAATAAAATGTGAAAATACAAAAGGCTTTTAAGGGTTACTATTAATCAATTCAAAATTTTTTATGTTATTCTGTTTTTAAATTATTTTATATTTAAAAACAATTTTATTCATTAATGTATTAATTTGTTTTATTTTAAAAATTGTATAGCTTTTTACAATTTTTTTTATTAGTAGGTAAGATTGAATAAGTGAAAATTTTGTTATTTCACAAGATGCTTAAACATTTAACTGGTTATTAATTTTTAAATGGTCTTTGTGAGAAAAAATAATTTCTCGGCAGTTTTCGAAGCAGTTCTCAAAGAAAAACACGTGAACTGTACTTTGATATGAATCATTTAGAATTATCAATTTCATTTTAGATTTTAAAGCTCCAGATTGTTCAATTATTTAATTTATATTTTATAAGAAAGTGCACTCTAAATAGTCAAAAATTGCTAATGGTTTTTATCAATAGAGTTACAAGATAACATATTAAGGGTAATAAAATTAAAAATTCATATGTATTAGTATCATTTCTATAAGATGCGATATAATAATTGATAACATGGCTATGTGTGTGTCTAATTTATAAACTGATCATTGTAGCACGTTGAGCAATAATTTAACACTTTTCAAATCAATATTTTAGCGTTACTTATTAGTAGTAAAGATGCGAATTAAAAATTCAAACTTTCTTTTTAAAAATTGTAATATTCAATTTAGATTATATAAGGGGACACTAACTAAAACTGAATTTTAGTAATATGTTATTAATTCAAGAGATAAATCTTAAAGTGTTTTGGAATAATGTTTGGTTAACATTAAAGTAATACATAATAACTAATATTGTGAAAAAAGTAATTTAGTTTAAAAAAGGCAGTTTTTTAATGTATTTCATAATTATTTTATCTTTTGAAAACTTTATTATCTGTTTTCAGCTTTTGTGAAAATATGAAATAAAGTTTGGGCAATTAAGTATTAATTAAGATTTAGTAAGTTCGAAATTAGTCTTTTCGTTACATATTAAAATTTTTTTTAAATTTATATTATTTCATTTTCTATTTAAAACAAGTTTTGGTCATGAAGCAACATGCTATTTTTCTTTTCCATGTGCTTTTTAATAGTTCCCAATTCTTATATGTTTTTAGGATTATTATTTTATAATAAAACTGCAAATGACTGCATTACATGGAATTCTCTTAAAAAGTCAGGGTTTTATATTGATATGAATAGCACCATTTCTGAAAGCTTTCACCTAATTGTTTTCCAAAACGGCTTAAACTTGTAATATTTTTTTGCAACATAATCAGTCCTTAATTAGGGCTTTTTATTTTTTATTAGCTTTATAATATGGAGGATATTTTCATTTCTCTATTTGACGGATTCTTCAAAAAAGAAATTTTTTTTTTTAATTCAGGTTTTGTAAGATTTTTTTTTATTTACATGGTTTCAACTAACATGAAAATACTGCTTCTCTGTTTACTGACTTTTTCATTGTGAATTTCACACTAATTCAGTAAATAATATACCCCAAGAGAAAAATTAGTGTTCAGAGGTTGATTAGTGACAGAAAGTAAGTCTTTTATTCTTTTTTTCTTTCAATTTTGTGGTTTGTTTATTTAAAAAAAGTAAAATATATGATAAAATATGACTAATAAATTTATATGATCCAAAGATTAGAAAAAAGTAGTGAAATAATATGTACAAAAAAAAAAAATTGCATTTAAAAATTTTTTTCAGAAAGTTTCAGTACTGATTTAGATGTAATATTTATTATTGTATAAACTTGAGTATGTAATTTAATAACCTTTGAGTTAAAATAAAGACAAGGTTGAAAAACAAGAAACCCCCCCCAAAAAAAACAACTTTTTTTTTGCATAAAATATATTTTTTTTCGTTCGAAATATTTTTGTTTTAATCATTTTCTTAAAATCTTGAATGAAAAAAGAATCTTATTTTAATATTCGTTTTAAGAATATAAAAAGAAATTATTTATTTAGAGCTTTGAAAAGTGTTTCAAGCTTGCTTAAGATTTCTTATTTCACTATATACTAAACCAAATGTTGGGAACATTTGTTCTAAACCTGCAATTGAACGTACAACAACTGTTGAATAATAATAAGAACATTTTGTTTTAGTTTCAACCTTTAAATTATATAACAAAACTATATAAAATTAGAAAAAAAAAACTTCTTTCTTGTAATTTATATTAGAAAAGTAAAACATTTTAGGATTTGTAAATTTTTTAATGCCAATTGAAAAAGTAGAAAACTAAAAGTAACAGCTATAAGTAGAAAACAACTGCTTGTTAGATACTGTTATTTTACAAAAAAAATAAAATTGTTTTTTTGAAAGACATAGATTAAGTTTTTTTTAAAGAGCATGTTTAAAACAAATTTTTTATTCAATATATAAAACAAAATGTTTTAAATGTATCAGCCCTAAATAAACATAAACAGTATGTGAGCAAGGTTTTATTTATTTATTATATCGGGACATCTTTCTGTGAAAAATANACTCCGTAGCCTTGTAATTTTGAACCCAATCCAGAAGACAAGGGAACTCCAGGATCAAGTATTAGGAAAAATTTGCCTTCGTGGAGAATAAGTATCCTTGTTAGTTGTTTTACATCTTGTCTTGGGCTAACAAATAGTTTCTTAATTAACATCACAGTTATTGTAGCTGGTTTTTATGTAAAAATTATTCAGAGGAAAAAATTAAGGTTATCAAATGTGAGCAAGGTTTTATTTATTTATTATAACGGGACATCTTTCTGTGAAAAATATTGAATAGGTATGTTCTGTTATTAAGTTGAATAATTTACTGTAGAAACACGGTTAAAATAATAATTGACTTATTCAAATATCTTTAATGGTTATTAATTTAATAAATTGTGTTTTGCAAATTTAGACTTCATTCTAAATAGGCCCTGCATAAGTTTGATTGGCGCCGTCCAAGTTAATAGTTTAGTAAATTATTCAATTTATCTAGTACCTTTTCTGCCATTTCATTTTAAATATAAAATCAGTAAAATATTTTTTGTTGTTGCCCTATTTGATTTTGATGTGAGATATGCATTTATGCTTGTTGCTGCAGGAAATTAATGCAGCTTAATCGTACAAGAATTGTGTCTTGTGCATGTTTCATGTTATATCAAAATGGAATATAAATATACACAAGCTTAATTAGGAAGTCATGTTTTTTCATGTGCTCTTCAATAAGTTTCTTGTGTGTCATGTATTTTATGTACAATGTGTTGTACTCCTCAATAATATTGATATACATTTATGTTTAAAAATAATCACATTCTAACTGGTGATCACACTATTGTTCCCTTCATACCGTCAGCTGGTGGCGTGATTTCAACGTCTATAGATTTGCTTCTGTTGGGTAAGTGTATTGTGCCATTCTCATGCTGGGCTTGTTCGCCTAAAAGTGGCTCTGCTTGTAGAGACTCGTCTGAAGAGTTTCTTTTCTTCTTTTGTTTTGGCGCTGATTTTCCTCTAACTGAACCTTTCTTCATGAAGATCTTAACACTTGAGATTGGACTTGGCCGTATTAGAAATCTAAAAGAAAAAAAAAAGTGAGTTTTTATTATGTCTTACTTAGTTGTTAAGTCTGAACACCTGCCACGAAAGTGAATTTTGTTTATTTGCCTGTACACTGCTGCGGTTGTGTATTTTTTTACTCCAAGCCGCTGATTTGCCTGGATTTTTCATATTTTTACTTTGCATTGTTTCTAAAAGATGTCTCTAGTAAGCTAGCAATTCAGGAGATATTGGATTGCAAAACAATTTCAAGGACACTTTCAGTTAGGTTGGGAATTGGAGAGTGTTTTCAGTTGCTCGCTTTGCGAATGGATGTGATGAAGAATAGTTAGCAGTAAGTGACTGATCTCCCTGTCTTAAATTACCATACCAAAGCTGAATTTTGGAAAGAAATAAAAATGAAAGTATTCAAAATGTAAGTACATATTTTCGTTCCTTCCATTGTAAAACGTTCTTTCCAGTGCTCACCTTCCTCAGGAAAAAGCCACTTTTAACCCTTTGACTATGAATTTAAAAAAAGGATTTTTTTGTCCCGTTTATTATTCAAAAGGACAAAATAGGTCACAAATAAGGCAAATTTAGTATTTGGGATTTTTCTGACAAGCGGTTATCAATTTAGAGGCTGGGACATATATGTCCCAGCCGTACTTAATGGTGGGATACATATGTCCCACCTATAATGATCGACTTACTACACGCAAATCTATCATTCCGGAAAAATTTATTATATGGACTTTTTTTTACATGGTATGATACAGGGTGAAGCAATCTTTGCATAACCCGATATTACACATTCGACAGCTCATATTTGTTCTTTTTTTCTATGTTCATTTGAGAAAATATGAATGGACATAACAATCCCAATGAAGAATACTAGGGGGATATATCTGTCCCAGCGCAAAATCACAATGCCATTTCAGGCAAGAAACTCTTTAGCGCCACCTAGGGGATATTTGACACATGAAACACTTATACTTGGTTCGACTCTACGACTGGGACATATTACAATGAGTTTCTAAGTGCTTTTCACCACATTAGTAATTTTTAAACATTTGTTGGGACAAATTGGCCAAAGGGTTAAGTAAAAATGCCTATTTTCACTATAATTAAAAATTATCGGAAATTAATAAACGCAATACTTAAAAGTTTTGATTGCTGATTTGAATTCATATAATTAATTAAAATGCAAAATTGTTTTTTTAATATGCTTATTTTTTGTTGCAATTAAGTAATTAACTTGCGTTTGAGTTGGTTTGTTTTTAAAGTGAAAATCTTGCAATTGAAAATTTAGATTTGATTAACAAAATTTCAAACGGAGTTTTGTTCCGGATGTCAATACATGTTTCTATCATGTTCTTATTGTGCCATTCTGTGCCATTTTTCGCCAATGAAAATTTCCGTTATTTTCCTACTATTTAAAGTGTTCTAATTTTAACTGGAGCGTAGGATAGCGTTTCAAGTTTGCATAATTTTTTGAACGCTTTAAGTAGAGCTTATTAGCAATCGAAAGCAAACAAACACAGAACGATAATAAAGAAATAGAAATTATTTAAAAAAAACCGTATTTTCCAAGTGAACTTAAAATTCTTTCAAATGACAGTTAATATTATTATTTGTTTTTATCAAAATTTTTTTTAAATCTACACACCATTTATTTTAAATATACATTATATTTTTACTTACAGATTTGGAGATTTGCGATATAATTTCTTGTTTTTGTACTACTAGCCTCCTATCAACAACACAATTTCAACTTCTATCATTGAATTATTAAGTAACTTATTTAAAATTTCCAAAATAGCTAAATCATTAAGCTGTATTATGACTAATGAATACTTATAGAGGTTCCCTGATTTAAGTTGTATAATATGAATTTTATGATTTTGCTGCTATTCCGAGATTTTTTTTTTATGAGTTGGACTTAAATCAAGCCGTTACTTAAAAATGTTATTACTAAAGATTTATTATCATTTCGTCTGAATGAGTGTAAGGATAATGGAATATTCGAACGTTATACTTACATCACATCCCCTAGCTCCAGTTTCTGATCACAGCTAGGATTAATTATCACGTAAGAAAGGCCATTCCTCTTTTCCGATACATCATCTAAAAGTACAGTTTACAATTAACGTAAAGATTATATCTATATATTGTTATGCATTTTTTCTTTAAAAAGATGTATTTCTAAAAATCTCTTTGATTATTAAATTACATTATGATCGATAAGATTTTAAAATAAATATATATGTTCAACATGAAATCCTGCAAACTAATGCAATTAAAAATGTTTATGATTATATTTTCTTTAAAAAATATTTTAATATTAATCAGAACTCCCTCTTTATAGTTATATTTTTCATTCTAAGCTTAATTTTAATAATAAATCATTTAAAGAATTGTATATTAATTAAACAAAAACACGTAAATATTTTGAAAAAAAAAATTAAATATGGAAATCATCTATAATTATGTCAAAGCTATGAAAGGTATTTTCAAAGAAATTCTCAGTTTAAAATATTTCAGAGAAATTAAGTTTCGAAAAAGGTCGAAGCAAGAAATATTTAACCTCATAAAATAAAATAAAAATGAAATTTTTGAGTTAACTTATTTATTTTTCAGTTGGAAATTTAAACTGAACTTAAAATTGAAAGATATGAATATGTATGTATTTGTTGTTTTTTCTTTCTTTTTTGCTAGAAACTCCCTTTCTATGTTAAGTTCTTAAGATTTTTTTTATGCAAGATTAATGATCTTTTAATGTTGTTGTATGCGTTCTAAAATTTATTTTAATCAATTATTCTTTTCTTCATAAACGTTTTGGGTTTAAATAACTTTATTTTTATAACCGTCGTTGAACAACAGACCCAATTTTGGGTTTACGACTACTAATAACTATTTATTACGACTACTAATAACCACGGGGATACTCCAAAAGTTCGAAGTGCGCGCAACTGTTCAATCTCATAAGCAAACATATTCAAAATTTTTAAATTAGAGTTTTAACAAATAGGTAGGATATTAAATATGAAATCCAGAAAACAGCGTTACTTAGAAATTAACTAAATGCAAACAAACATAACAAAGAAAATAAACAGTATCGATCAGAAGAGATATTGATGTCGCATCTTCAGTAGGGGTGCAAAATTAATAACAAGAAACAATTTCACATGTTTTTATTTTTTATTTTTAAACGACTACTAATGTTCAACTTCATAGTCTTGTAATTTTGAACCCATTCCAGAAGACAAGAGAATTCCTGGCTCATGTAGTAGGAAAAATTTGCCTTCGTGGAGAACTTTTTGATGAAACTATCACCATTACATTTAGAGGAAAACCACGAACACCGCCCAAGGTTAGCCTGATGGCAAGGGACTCAAACCCATGATCCGCCTAGTATATTTTACGTCAGCACTGTGGTTAGTGCAAGCCTGGTGCGGAATTCCTATAGACCAGCAATCGCTGAGATTCGAACACGGTTCACCTCATTGGAAGGCGGACGCTCTATCCGTTGAGTCACTACTGTTCTAAATGACTTTTTGAACTCATCATACTTCAGGAAAACCTAACCTGTATGCATTATTTATGGTACGATATCGGAACTAATAGTTCAGTTCTGATATATTTTATATACATGTTTAATGAGGAGGTAACTAACAAATATAAATTCGAATAATAAGGAATAATGTAATGAATAATTATGAAAAACTTTAAAAATGTGCGTTGGAGGGGAAAAAAAAGAAAAACCAGCCTAGCATAGTATTTCAGGCTTTTTTGTTTCAACCTTTCATTATTTCACCTTTTTAACTCGGTGTATACGTATGAAAACTTTGAAAGATTTCATTTCAGTTTGATCCCTCACCCAAATATATTTAATCATTCTTACGAATACTATTTAAGTTTTTTTCCCTCTAATAGTAGACAATGGAATAAAAAGGATTTTTTTTATTTTAAGCTTTGTGAAGCTGTAAAATTTATGTCGACGTTTCTGCTGATCTGCTTTGCATATATTGGCGTGGCATTTGAGTTAGCAGGAAATTATTTTTTTTGTAGTTTAAAATTATACCACAAGCTATTTTTTTAAAAAGTTTTTTTAAAATTAAAAACTATTAAATTATATTGAATTTTTTAAAAATTTTATTATTATTAATGGATTGTATTGTTTTGGATAGTAATTTGAGTTTATCTTCTCAATTTGAAAAAATCTATAAAAAATGCTGCCTCCAGTGGATCGGTATAAATGTATGTTGTCAAAAAAGTATTATACAAATATTTAATTAAAGTTTTACACTCTAATGAAGTAAATTCAACAAGAATTAGACAAGTTCGACGTTAGAAGGTTACTTTTACCGCGAATATAGTTGTTGCTCTCTAAATAATAATGGTAATTCCATATGTTTAGTTTAGAGAATAATAGAGAATCTTGAGAAGTTATGTAAATCCTAGCTATCCACACCTATGAATACTGCTAAGCATCAAAACTTTGTGAATATTTTTTGTTGTTGTTCTAATCAACATAGAAAATGTTGGGTTATGGGTGCTTTGTTTGATGCATTCGTATTAATAAACCCTGGGATGGATAATGGCAGCTTTGTTCTATTTTATCCATCTTTTCTCGGATTGAAATTCATGTTCGGCTAATAACTATTTATGTTAACTTTTATGTGTAAGAATAATAATAAAATAAAAAATGAAGGGGTGCCATATAGCTTAAACTTAAAATTTGAGATATTGTTTTGACTTTCACTAAATTTAATTTTTTAAAAAAGTGATTTAAAGTAAAGCATTCCCTCCACAGTTCGTTATGAGCAAAAGGGTCATGGAGGTTAAAGCTCCACAATTTTGTGACCAACTGCTTGGTGGTTGGTAATGCACTCCGATCACCCGTATGTAGACAATAAATGATAAGTCGGCTCTGCCTTAGTATTAATGATACTTAGATCTATGTTTCCCCAGGAAACTGGTACCCATCCATAAGAAACTCGGTGATCAGCTTTAATCAACAGTCTAATAGTACTCCACAACGACAGCTCAGACCTTTAACCGTATTTTTCTTGATATTCCAGATTTTCATAATCAAAAATAGTTTGTCAGATTTTTAGCTTTTTGTCTTAATGTTCCTAATTTTTGTATGTGTTCCGAAAATATCCTTTTCTTAGAATACCAAATGCATATTTTTAAACAGAAATGTTAAGAATAGAAAGATTTGGATTTTTTCCTATCTATTATCGTTTTATTTTAATAAATACTTATTATAGAAATCGCACAATTTAATAGCTCTAATTTAGGGACCATCTACTAATTATATACATGGTTTTAGCCTAACCCACAGGATTCATTGTTTCATGAAAATTATATTCTACGAAAAGGAAACTCGAGTCACAATTTTGCATTATCAAATTTTTATGATGATGCTTTCAAGAGTGATATGCTTACTTCTTATTTTCAGCAAATGAAGTAAGAAATCTTTTAATATATATTGTTTTTTAGTTTCACAATTATAATTAATGATTCGTCTCACTCATGTTATTTTAAAAGTCTATTCCAATCAACAATAAAGTAACATCATAGAATTTGTAATTGAATAATTTTGGATAAACCACTAAAATTACTTATGTATAAAAATATTAAGTGGAAATTTCATTGTGTTCTTGTTTCAATATTATAGAACAGAAGTTTTTTTCTATCTTCCACTTTCTTATTTTATTTCAAAATGAAGTTTTTTAAAAAAAAGAATGAAGAGAAATTGAATATCAAGTTTATAAAACCAGTTGATTTATAAGTCTATTAAAATATCATAATGTTAATAGTGGTCTAAAAAGAAACTTGTGCTCAGAAACTTAATCTTTCATTCTTCCAAAATGTTTTTTTATGCTCATTAATATTTATAAATAGGTTTTTTGTGTAAAAACATCTTAAAATGCATAACAAATTAAAAGTAACAGAAAAGAAAGTATATTTAACAACTATTTTGAATATAAATACTAAAAATTTGTGAGTGGCTCATTCATTAGCTATTGTGCTTCTTTCTTTTCTTTTTTTTTTTTAAATAAAAATTGTTTTAGAATAACTTTAAAAGCTTTATGTGAATTACTTTTTCTTACAAAATAGTTGTCCGAAAAGATAAAAAATTCTAGTTAAATTCAGAAAAAAATCTAAATTTTCTCACTATTAATTATTTTTGTGATTGATAAAAAAAAGTATACATTAACAATATAAATTTATTTACCAATTTTTTAAGTGTTAAATTGTTTTTAAAAACTGTTTCTACTGTGTTATTTGTGTTTTTGACTAATTTAGAAAATAAATAATGTGGCTTAAATAATGCGCAATGCTCCCAAAATGTTTTATGCAATCATTTTCTAGACTTACCCTGTCATATTAATTATAGTTCAAAAGTGTTTATTTTGCTTTCTAAGTTAAACATTGCAACTATTAATATAAAACAGGACATTGATATAATTTAATATTCAAATATATCTCTCACCATAATCTTCTGTTGGCAACCTTAAATCCATCATACGATTCTTTACTAAATTACTAATTTCTTGTCTTTCAATATCTGAAGTTATGCGATTTCTTTCACTGTCTGCAAGCTCCAGGGATACCTGAAAGATTTTATGATCGATTTAGACACTAATTTAAAAAAAAAAATTAAATATTTAAAATAAAATATATAAAAATAAAATATATAAAATAAAAGATATAAATTCACATAAAAATATTTTAATTGCTACGCATGCAATTTCTTCAAAAAACTTCTCATGTATAAGATATAATATTTAAAGATTTAATTTTGTTATAAGCAAAGATTTAAGAGATAAAAAGGGCTTACTCACATCTTAAAAATATTTAGCTTCCCTATTGTAAATAATTTTGTATCTATTGTAATCTTATAGGAGATTTCATTTTGCTCAATTAATGTTTTAGTTATTGCAAAATGCGAATGTTTAGCAAAAAGTTATTTCCAATTTGAAATATGTGATAGTAAATATATATTTTTTGAAAATATAAATCTGCTTATCTCTATACTACAAAAATGGAGGTTATAATTTTTACTCCCTTCTGAATTAATTCTTAAATTTAATAAATTATTTTATTTAGTAACACAGTTTCCAAAGACATTATTTTATTAGATATATAAGATATTTAATGGACACTCTTTTCTTTATAAAATAATTATAGGGACATATTTTAGTTATAGTTTTAACTAACTGAAATAAAGGTTTTTTTTCCAAACAGAATAGAATCAGCATTTAAACTTGTTCTCACACTGTGAGGCAACTTGAAATATTGGTCTTAACACTTCTATGCTTATTGAAGTTTTACTGTCTTGAAATATAACTATTATTTATGAAACTTAACAAATGAAATTTAATGCTAAATTAATGTATTGCATTTACAAAAATATTATATTTTACATTAAAATAAGTATCGAATATAATAAATTTTCCAAAAAATATTTGTCCTAACTTTTTAATGTATTTTATTGAGTTGTGGTGGCTCAGGGGATAGAGCGTTTGCCTTCCAATGAGGTTAGCCGGGTCTAAAAATCAGCGATGGCTGGTTGATACACTCGGGTCGCACCGACCACTGTGATGACGTAAAATATCCTCTGTGGTAGACAGATCATGGATTAAGAGTCCCCTTGCCGTCAAGCGAACCGTGGTAGGTTTTCGTGGTTTCTCTCTCCGTGTAACGCAAATGCGGGTTAATTTATTCAAAACAATCCTCCACGAAGGCAAATTTCTCCTAATACTTAATCCTGGAGTTCCATCTTTTGGATCGGATTCGAAATTACAAGGTTATGGAGTGGAACATTAGTAGTCGTAAACCAAAAATTGGGTTATAAAATAAAATATATTTTATAAAATTATATAATATTTTAAGACAATTTTATTTTTAGGAATATTTTATTCTCTAATTAGATGGATGTCCCAAAGAATCGGTGCAATTTGGGGCAAAAAATATTGCCCCAAATTGCACCGATCCAACTTAACAAAATTTGTCGAATAATATCGCCTGTTTTGACATCCATACATTTATTATGAAAGTATTATTTTTCTTTACAATTGTAACGTGTTACAATTATAACTACAATTGTATAAATTGCACAATTACTATAAATTGATAAAGAAAAATAAAGTCATACCGTTGAAGCTTCGCATGGTCCAGCTATCTGTGTTCTGTATATTCCAATAGGAATTTCGCAAGTTGATGAGCAAAGTTTTTGGTAAAGTCGTCCATACGTTCTTATCCACAAATCTTCTTTCGTTATTTTCATCTGCAAAATGAATAAATAACGGCATCACCTTTTAACTTTGAATGTAAAAGTAAAGATTACTTTTTTTATTATTATTTCGTACTGTTGCAAGATCTGTGACACTCTCCAAAAAGCCTGCATTGACAGTGCAGCGAAAGGTATTAATATAATTTCCTATTAATAAGATTCCTTAAAAGACTACGTTTTAAGATTCCTTAAAAGACGTTGTTTAGAGAAGAACTTCGTTGTTTTGAATAGGGATATAAGACAAAAGCGCTGACTTTATTCTTTTAAATTCCCTGCTGATTAAATGGGCTGTGGAATTCATTGACACAAGAGCCGTAATCAGCGCCAAATGTGAATCTATTTTGTTGTCGTTGGTAATGGCAAATGGCAAATCTCTAAAATAAATTACTTTCCAGTAGCAAAATTTTTTTTTTTACTTGTCGGTTTTAGAAGCATTTAGTTGGACAAGTATGTTCAAAATAATTCATATATCTTTGAATAATAAATGATTTCATTTTACTTCGAAATTTATTTATTTATTTAAAGATTTTCATTAGATATGTACTATAAAAGTAACTTTGATGCCTACATCTGTTTGAAAACCTTTCTATTCTAACAAAATATCTATTAATAAAGTTAGTTGTAAAAGCATACCTACTAAAGAAAAACGTGTCTGCTGATTTAACAAAGTATATGATGGAAAATAAATAATATTTGATGTTAACTGAACTAAGTGTATCCTTTGTTATTGCCAATACTTATGGCTCACATCTGCTGCTTGTCAGCTCTAAAAGTTCAGTTTAAGTTAGCATTTCATCAAGCGCAGTTACATGGGATTTATTCCTATTTGTTTTCATTTGAAAAAAAAAAAATCAAAATAAAAAATATTTTTGAAACCCACGTTTTTGTAGTGGAGAATAATAATTAAAAAATAAAAATTTGAAAAACGAAAAACGTGGGGCGCATGAAATTCATAACAGTAATGTTATATTAGTGTGTGTATGTGTGCTCATGAGAATATGTGTATGTATATCTGTAATTGTAATTGTATCTGGATGTGTATGTGGAATATGTTTGTGTATATGCATGTGGATGTGTATGTGGCTGTGCATGTGTATAAGTAAGAAAATGTGTATAAGTATGTGTATATGTACTGTTATGTATTTCATTCGCCCCACGTTTTTCGTCTTTCAAATTTTTATTTTTTAACTATTATTTATTATAATTTTTTTTGTGTAATTTTTTCACTCACTGTACACAAAACTTTTCAACTGACACGTGACACTAATTTGAAATAATCGAATCGACAGCAAAAGACAATCGCTAAAATACTAATTTTTCTTTCATTTTATTTTACTTTGTATATCTTCTTTCTCTTCATTTTCATGCATTGTCATCCAATTCTGAACTATGTGCCAAATTTGAAGTCTGTAGCTAGTCGGGAAGTTAGTTTAAAATCGATTACAATATTCCACCCGAACAGACATACACGAGGTAAAATAAAGATCTTTGTTGAGTTTTTATCAACAGTGTACTTTTCAAGAAAAATAACATCATTTAAATAAATCCTTATTTAAGTTTTATAAAGAGAAAATTTTAATTGTGTCACGTAATACGCATAATTGAAATAACATTCGAAACAAACATTCTTATTTGTTATTATTATTTTTATACTCACAGATGAGAGAAAACCTGATCCTGGGGCTTGATCGATTCCCAACAACAGCCGTACAAATGTTATCATGTATTCTTTCACGAATGCCTGCAAGTATACAATAAGTTCAATTATGAAGACTTAAATTCAACAGTGGTCCAAATTCTTTTTTTCTTCTTCCAAATCTTATTTATTTATTTGCTTTGAGATTCAGAGTCATAAAATCAAATGAATGTATGTTTTTTTTCTTTTTATCTTGTCTGATTTGTGGTTCTCTTTGTTTGGCAGCAGAAATAAACTGGAAGTGGAAAATACTTGCATGAACGTGAAGGTAACTTCATTTTTTTTTTTAACACTAGATTGCCCAAGGAAGTCATTTTGACTTCTTTTTAATTTCAATTAGAAAAACAATGATGTACATAATTACACAATTTGTGACTTTTATAATTATTTTTATTGTTGATATTTGCTAATAACTTGTTATATAACTGAAAATAATATAAAATTTTTTAAAAATTAATTTGAAACAAATTTTCTTATACATTATTTTTTCACAATGCACTCATTTTGACTGCTTTTGGGCAATATAGGTATTTCAGTCTTTCTAGTGTTAATAAGTGGAATTGGACCACTATTGAAAGGATTGGACCACTTGTTATATAACTGAAAATAATATAAAAAATATTAAAAAATTAATTTGAAACAAATTTCCTTATACATTATTCTTTCACAATGCACTCATTTTGACTGCTTTTGGGCAATATAGGTATTTCAGTCTTTCTAGTGTTAATAAGTGGAATTGGACCACTATTGAAATATGACTTTCATATGACAAGAGGCAAAGTTTGTGTTGATCAATATTAGGTAAAACATTTGTTAATATTTGTGTAATATTAAACGTATACCATAAAAATATTGTTAAGTTATATCACTTATTCATTAGTTTTAGTTTTTCGAATTGACTTTTTATAAGCGAGCTTAAATTAAATCCCCCAGTATGAGGAAGACATTGTTTAGTAAGGTTTTAATAAAGTTAAAAAGAAAAATCAGTATCAAATATTATTTTAAACGAATAAACGGAAGAGTAAATATTACCTGGTATAATAAAGTATCCAGCATACTCGCGCTGAACACACATCCCGCTGCAAATGGCAATCGGAACATATATGAGATATGAGAACCCCTTTCTCTTTCACTCTAATGAATAAAGTAAGAAAAATTATTCTTAATAATATTTGAAAAGTATACACGAAAAATATTATATTAAAAAAATGCTATAAAATTCATCATTTTTTATTAACGTATGTACGCAAGCTTTAATTTCATGTTAAAACAGTTAATTTTGCGTCTTTTTTTTCCAATTTTTTTTGTTCTATATGAATCTTTTGCCTTGTTAAAATATCCCTATTAAAAAACGTCGGGTCCACCGTCTCTATTTTGATGTTCAACATAACGTTATATTCGTTTTGCTGCTCAAAAAATATAAGACTTAAAAACTTGAGATTACTAAGGTATGTAGAAACGTGTACAGAAATAACGATGAATTATTAGCGGATAAACTTTTTGGAAAAATATACGGGCCGCTCTACATTTTACATGAAGGCAACTACATAGTTGAAATTTGGTATGCTGAAAGAGCCATGTTTATAAATGAAATCAACGCAGAGTTCTTTTTTTTCTTTCTTCGAAATTCCAATTCGTTCGAAAGTTATTGCAATTTTAAGTGTTACTTTTTTGCTAATTTTTCTCATTTTTTGTTTTGTTTTGATGCACAAAATCTATTGCACTTAGAAACTTAAAATTACGAAGGTATGCAGAAAAGTGTACATGAATCACGACATAATAAAAGATATTAGGATTCGATAATGAGCTCGTGAATTAACTACTGAACTGTTAAACTTGTAGGTAAAAAATACCCCGTTTGGTTGATTTCTATCTCGTTGAAATGCAAGTTTAAAATTTGACGTGCTGAATGAGTCATTTTTATTAATGAATTTAATACGAATTTTGTTTCGAAATTCCAATCTGTTTAAAAGTTATTGTAAATTTATGTGCATTTTCGTTATTTTTTTTTGCAGCTTTAAATATTGTCTGTTTATCCATTGTTGAAGAAAATTTATTCTTCCTTTACGAGATTTTCATTTTATAACCTCCCGCTCGAGCAGATGTCAATCAAAAGTAGAAAAAAAAATAGGTGTAGCCAAATAAAAATCTTAAAAATTGTATTCAAATTTTTAAAAACAAAAATCTTCATAAATAGCAATAAAAGTCGTTCCCTATTTGAATTGTTATAAGCCTCGTCAACGAGTAAAATTACGTCTCATTTATTTATTCTTATTGAATCCCACAATCTGTTTCCTTCAGGTTAATTTTTTTTTTCAAACACAGATGATTATTTTTCAAATCTAGGTAATCGTTTATTTCGCCACGATTAACTTAGTAAGGAGATTTTGCAAACGTACGTTAGATTCCGTGTACGCTCATATACGTATGATTTGAATGGGTTATTATGCAATTTTCAATCGGTATGATGTGCCCCAGCTCCTTTGATTAACGTGTAACAGCATTTTTCAAGACACTCTGTACATCGTAAGCCACGTTGAATTTCATATTTTGAACGTAATCTTTTGACCGAAAAATCAATAATAATATACACCGAAGAGCCATTACATTATGACCACCCTCCATCTATAACAATGGGCTCGCCCAGGTTTTCATGGTTTCTCGCCCAGGAATAATGTTTTCTTGGGGCATCCATAATCCTCATAGAACAATCCCTGACGTCTGAAAGCTACTTGAACATAGTTGCAGACCAGGTTCACCCATTCATGGCAACAGTTTTTCCTGCGGGGGATGGTGTTTACCAACAGGATAATGCACCATGTCATAAGGGTCGAATCGTCATGGATTGGTTCGAGGAACATTCCAGTGACTTTCAAGTCATGTCTTGGCCCCCAAATTCACCTGACCTTAATCCAATAGAGCATTTGTGGTCCTACTTAGAAAACCAAATTCGTGCTGCCACGCTATCCCCTCGCAATGTGAGGGAATTGGTACCAGATACCTCAGGCTACCTATCAGCACCTTGTGGAATCAATGCCACGGCGGGTGCTAGCAGTTTTGAGGGCTAAAGGTATTCCCACATGTTATTAGCAGGGTGGTCATAATGTAATGACTCTTCGGTGTATTTCTTTTAGTTCGCTATTATTAAAACTCAAAAAAGGGAAAAAAGAGAAAAAAATATATGTGCGGTATGTAAATAAAATAAGAAAAACATTAATACCTTTTCCATTTTAGATAAATGTAACGCATATGTATCGTTAGCCCTAAATTGCATGAACCTCATATTACTAGATTGACTGAGCTCTGTGATGATTCTAACACTGGGAAACATTCTAGAGAAAATTGAAATGCATCAGTATCTAGGGAAACATGGTTTAAGTATAATATTTCCATTGTAAAATAAATACATTTTTAAAATAAGTGAGTTCTTTTAACCACTATAGAATTTATTTTCAAAAGCCTAGCTTAGTTTCAATCAATTCTATCTGAGTTAGATTAGAAAAGTTAACTTTATCTGTTGTTTTTAAAAGATATATCTTGATAGAACCATTGAAAAATATTTTAACTTCTGTGGAAATAGAAACATTAATATATGAAAATACAGTCGGACCTCTATTTAACTATTGAAGTAATTAACTATTATTATTCTATTGAAGTCGCCAAATCCCGATAATAAGTTCGTTATATGGAAAATTCGTTAAATAGAAAATCACATTCTGAAAAACTTAAGCAACACAAGTTTTAAATTCATGAACACTAGCCATAATTAAAATAGAAATTGATACACCTTTATCTTGAAAACTAGTATCTATTATTTATTTTATAAATCTTAACCATAAAAGAAATCTGCATGGAAAGCAAGAATAAAGCAAAACATTATCCAGTGTTACATACATTTCAACTGAATGCTACATACATTTTCAACTGAAAAAAGCTGAATTTATGTATAAAATTATCGTTGCAGTTATAAAAGTGATTTTAAACATACATTACTGATAAAATCTTGTCTGAGTTTTTCGTTTGAAATGCAAACAAAAAGGGAAAGGGATTTTACTGCTAAGTGGCTGCAAAAATCGATTCAAACTCATTTCCCCCATGAAATGTGTTAACAAGTTTGAAATGTTCTGAAATATTTTAAGAAATGGGGAAAGTGGATTGAAAAGAAAAGTTCGGTAAATAGTAAATTCACTTCGTTATTTGGAAGTTATTTTGCGAAGAAATTTCCAAAATGTTCTTAATTCCTCGAAAAAAATCGCAAAAAGGAAGTTCTTTAAATAGAAGTCCGACTGTAACTGGTTTGCAGGAAATTTATTACATGTAAGTTTAAGTGGAAGGTGAACAGTACTAGCTATTTTCAAAAGATTGATACTATCCGTTTATGTTCCATAGATAAAAACATTTCTCTTACCACAGCAATTTTGAGTTTAGTTGAATTCCAATGACAAAAGTTCTTTTATTTTTGAAAGAAGTAGCAGAAAACTAATTAGATTCGATTCTTGAATGAAAGCTTATGAGTAAAGTATCAGTAATTTTATCGCATATAAAAAATAATCGATATGAATAATTTGAAACGATCTAGATTCGTGGCGATTTCTTAATTTTTAGGGTGGCATAAGGCTTAGATTGATGGTGATCCTCTTGGGACTGAAAAATTCTGTATGGAAATCAATTTATTCTATGCCATTAATCGAAATCTATTCATTCATATTTTAGATTAATTGTAACACTGCCTATCTTCCTCAAGTCCAGAATTTGAAATAGCAAATGTTAACTGGGCTGGAATAAGATTCCACGCAAAAAATATTCGAAAACTGTCGTGGTTAAAATTATAGATAATTTGAATTCACGTTGATATAGATTCGTTGAACAGGAAATTAGATCTTATGTTTAAATAACGAAAAAGATCGGGGAAGGTAAATGAAAAAAATCTTGAAAAACAACGCTGTTGGCAACAGACATGCCCTCCACATATCAGCATTTACGTGAGGAAATTGCGGTCTGTTGTATAATTAATCGAAGAAGGCTGATATTCTTCAATCCAGTCAAAGTTATATAATTAACATTTTTATAATATATTAACAAAGTTATATAATTACATAGTTAACATACATAACGTATTTCTATGATTTGTAATTATAACTATTTTGTTTTCATTTTATAGTAACTATTAATTCAGTTGTGATTTTTAGTAATATGAAGTCACATCAGCAGGTGCAATTAAAAGACGATTTTTTGCTTATGAGTGCTAGACAAGATAGTGTTGTTGAAGACAGCGGAACCACAGAAATATCATCGCAATATTTCTCATCAATAGCCTATGTCGGGATAGCCTGGTCGGTAGGGCCCATGTCCGAGAGTTCGTGGGCTTCAGCCCCACCCGCCGAAGACTCCCAGTGTAGTAAATGGTGACTGATGCACGTTAAATCTGTCGAGTCGCAAAGTCCTCCACGTTCCCATAACAAATTAATACCTCTGGGGAAGTCCGAGATAGCCTGGTTGGTAGGGCACTGGGCCAATGTCCAAGAGGTTGTGGGTTCGATCCCAGCCGGCCGAAGGCTCCGCGTGTAGGAAATGGTGACTGATGCACGTTAAATTTGTCGAGTCGCAAAGTCCTCCATGTTCCCATAACAAATCAATATCTCTGGGGGTACTGATCCAGGAGTTGTCTTCTAGATTAGTTCAAAATTACGAGGCTACGGAGTTAAATATTTGTAGTCGTAAAACCAGAATTGGGTCGTCTGTTCGACGACGGTTATAAAATAAAATACCTCTGGGGATACTGAATTAGAGATTGATCATTCTCTGATTCAGGTCACAATTACGATCTGTGGATGAATGAATGGAAGCTTAAATTGGTTCGCCCAATAAACAGGCGTGACGTATGGGTGTGGCAATAGTCGAATTCTTGGCCATAGATGGCGCCACTGGAAAACAAGAACAATCGCACCCCTCTGCCTTAACAGACATGCGTAAACAACAACAATAGCCTATTTTAGTTTTTTCCTAAAATTAAATTATCTGAAATTATCTTTTTCATAAAATTGAAACTTTGAAAAATGTGCAGTTATTGTCTTATGTTATTTAAATTTCGTGAATCATTTTAATTCTTTACTGAAAAATTTAAAAATACTTAAATCATAAACTGTGTTAGCAAGTTCGTGTTCTGATGAGGGTAATTCAGTAAATATGTCATAAATATTTATTTTCTTGACATGTTTCTTCTTAAATTTAAGTAAGTAATAATAAAAGTTTTAATTTTTTAAGCAAATGAATTTGTTCTTTCATATAAATTCTTTGACTCATTACAAAAAGTTATGATGATGATAATTAAGTTTACTGGCCGATAGTTTTAAAAATTGCGTTTGCCTTTATAGGTTTTTAAGTTTTATAACAGATCAAAGTATTAGAAAAATGAAAAATATATCCTCATTTAGAAAATTATTTACATTTCAGTGAATAAATTAAGCAAAAAGCGGAAATGAAACGTAGGTAGTGGAAAATTAGTAACGTACTTAAACAATGCCTTAATTTTGAAAAAAAAGATAATTTTAGAATATTAATTCTTCTTCTAATAATAAATATGTTTATTATTCGGACTTTTACATAATTGAGTTAGCAGAGGGATGCATATATTAAGGAAAATTTTTCATTTTTTATACTGCTTCCGTTTAATTACTTTCAAAGACGTTGAATTTTAATGAAACTTAAATATTTTCAGACATTTTTTATTGAGCAGTTAGCAAATTCTTATGCAGCAATAGTAATTAAAAGTTTCAAGCTGAGTTTAATGAGTAAAGTAAATTTTATTATCTTATCGTAAAATGTTTTGTTTATAAATATAAATTAACTTTTTGTCTTTAAATATGTGACATTAACGTGAAAGGCCTTTTTGTTATAAGAAGTACTATTTTGTTTATTCTATGCATGTGCCATATATTTAGCAGTTTTATACAAAACATATTTCCGTGATTTAATATTAAATTTAATAAAAGATGTTTGAACTTAATGTAGTTAATTTTTTTTAGTTTTTTTATGTAGAGTAATTAACAATGGTAACACTCCTTACACTATTACTCCTTAGTTAAAGTAAAAAAAATTTGAATGTAATGTGAATAACATTCTATTAATTCAATTTTTTCTCAAAACTGCCTTTAACAAAGTTATCGATTTTAGATCAATTTTAGATTTAGATCAATTTTAGATTTACGACTACCCATGTTCAACTCCGTAGCCTTGTACTTTTGAACCCTATTCAGAAGACAAGGGAATTCCTGGAACAAGTATTGGGAAAAATTTGCTTTCGTGGATGTAATTTTGATGGAATTAATCCGCATTTGCCTTAACATGGTGAGGAAAACCACGAAACTCTCTCGCGGTTAACCTGATGGCAAAGGGACTCTAATCCATGATCCATAATCCTTCTACTGAGGATACTTTACGTCAGCACTGTGGTCGGTGCAAGCTGTGTGCGGAATTCGAATCGACCAGCCATCGAACCTGGGTATCATCGGGAGGTGAGCGTTCTATCCCCTGAGCCACCACGGCCCTACCGAATGTATTTATTGAGAAAACAACAATGTGATAAAATTTCATGTAAATCCCAATGGTAACTTGTTGGTAACCAAAGAACTTGTTGGATTTTATTTCATTTAGTTTAAAAAAAAATTTCTCTTCGAAATATTTACTTTTAAAGTTTAAAGTAGAGTGTTATTTCATCATTATACTCAAGAAAATGATTCGTTGTATATTTTAAATTGTAATTGTATATTTTAAAGGATATATTTTTTGAATTTGTACTGTTTTAAAGTGCACTTAAACGTAGAAATAGCTTTTATTGGAAGTACTGCCTTCAGTAGACTATCAAAAAGATCGTATCTGCAACGGCATCTTATAACAATTTTGTCTTTTTTTTTTAATAAAAGATTTTATAAATTAAAATGAATTAAATCAAAGAATCGTCCTACTTAAACATGGTTTGGACGGCCACTATGGTATTGCAATCGGACAGAAAGTCCTCTTCTGCAGAATTCGTCGATTCCTTGTTCACCACCACTACACTGTCTGCTAAATTGATTCCAGAACGCAAAAGATCGTCCAAGCTGTTCATCCATGAAAATACACAAAATCTAATGAGATCACCTCGAATGTGGGCATTAAAAAAACTTTAAATATATGACTGGATAATTTTATTTCAATTCTATAAGTTTAATCTTTCTATAGACTACTAGTAACTCTATAAGTTTAATTTTTAAAGTATCATTATAGTCTGTCCATCTAAAGAAATCCCCTCCATTCGTCTGGAGTACTATCGGTGACTATGGTTTCAAGGTTGAAAGATCTCTATAGTACGGCTTTCAAGAGAACTCCTCTGAACAACCGTCTCGCGTCGTGGCGGATACTATGGTTACGAGGTAAGGTCACTTCGAATAGGGGTGTGGGGTGAATTAATCTTAGCGTAGGTCTTCGTAAGTAAACCAATCGACGCCTTTCCTCCGTTTCATCCCGATTAGAAATGTGTTCTAGCTTGTTACCATAGTAGCAGACAGCCCCAGACTTTCAGTCTGGAGGAGTTCTCCTCAAAGCCGATAAGCTATGTCCAAAGTTCCCCTCTAAAATGTGTTCTTTCTTGTTTCCATTGCAGCAAACAACTTCAGACTCGGTGGCAGAAAGAGTTCTTCAAATAGACAGACTATAATCTAATTTGTTTATACTTAAATTGATGATTTCGCTTATTAGATTGAAAAATAGTTTTTAAGTATTTGTCAACGAAGAATTATTGTATACATTACGGGAATTGCTAGTAAGTTACTTACTTGTCAATAGATCCTTGCATCCAATATACTAATGGAAACCAAGAAATCGCATCCAAAAATGCTTCATGTGGCCTGTTGAAAGATAATACGTATGTTTAATGCAACTTAATTGTGAGGAAATTTAATAAAAATTTTTTTTTTGATGAATTATGAATATAATTCCGATGTATATGGTCATTAATCAGAAGTTAATCATAGACATATCTTTATTTTCATTTTTATACTTTCTGATACATTGCTTCATGTAGTGGCTTTATGATATTTTAGCTTTGAATACCTTAATTTTGGATTCGACTTAGAATACGAGAGAACTTCTGGATCAACTATTGGAACAGTTCATTATTTTCTTAAAGGCATTTTGATTGGAAAGCCATTAAAATTGTTCATGGTTTGTTCATGAATCAGATAAAAAAAAAACCGTCATTAAATCTAACGAATAACTATGAAAAAGGAATTAAAATTATTGAAATTAGTTTATATATCAATTGAAATTGGAAGACATTTCTATTATTTCAATGCAATTTGAAGTCAATAGAGACTTCTTTCAGTTTCATTTGAGAAGTAAACTGTTGCAATAGTCTTAATTCCATTTCTTAAAATTTAATTTCATTTCTTCCTCGTAGTCGGTTGAAACTGAATTTTTTCTATGATGTCTTTAAATTAATTAATTTTATTCATAGAAGTGTTTTTCAGATTAATTTGGCAAATTAAATGATCGTGATGATTGTGATTCTTGTTTTGATTGATCTTAATAATGATTCGTCAATTTTTGGAAACGTTGCTAGAGTGTAGCAATACAACTACATATAGCTGTCCGATATTTAAAAATTGTTTTAAGATCAAAGAATAAGTATAAAAATATATAGCAAAAAAATATATGTAAGTATAACTAGAAATATTTATGGTTTGGCAACCTTACTGAATACTGACGAATCATTATCAAGATTGATCAAAATAAGAAATGCAATAATAAAAACCATAAAATTGACTGAATGAATCTGAAAGGCATTTCTATAAAGGAAACTAATCAATTTAAAGGCAATTTAAATTATCCAATTCTTCTAAACGTTTTTCCCCTTTAGCCCAGCGCTCAGAGTTTAACAAAATGCAATTGATTACATGTACTTTTAATCATGATTACAAGTCATCAAAATTTGAAACTACATAATCGCGATTATGAGCAATTTTAACTTGCTTTTACAATTATAATCATAATTACAAATTATTATCATTCCGAGTATTAATGATCTGTAATGATGATTCGGAAAGATTACAAAATTTGAGATTGCATTTGTAATCGCGATTATAAGCAATTATAACTTGCTTTTACAATCATAATCATAATTACATACTGTCATCATTCCGAGTATTAATGATCTATAATGATTCGGAAAGATTACAAAATTTGAGATTGCATTTGTAATCGCGATTATAAGCAATTATAACTTGCTTTTACTACTGTAATCATAATTACATACTGTCATCATTACGAGTATTACTGATCTATAATAATTAGGAAAGATTACAAAATTTGAGATTACATTTGTAATCGCGATTATAAGCAATTATAACTTGCTTTTATAATTTACAATATAATCAAATTGTCATCCTTACGAGTATTAATGAACTATAATGATGAGGTTATAATCTATGATCTTATGATTACATCTATTTTCAACCAAAACTGTAATATTGTTAACAAGTAACTGATTATTTGTAATAAATTAAATTTAACCTAAATGTAGGAGAGGTTTATAACCTGTACTGTAAGCTAATCATCGTGAAATGTAGTTACGTATAGGAAGAAAACATTTGTACTATAATAAATTTTCATCGTTTTTACTCTCATGCTTTTATTTCTCAATAACACGAAATATTGTTTTCAGCTTTTACGGATTCAAATGTTTGACGTAATCAGGCATTGAGACACACCCTTGACAACACAGCATAATCATTTGATTCCGAGAGAAAAAGAGAGCGAAAACAATTTTGGCTAATTCTAAAAGATGTTCCTTTGGGCGGAAATGAAGGGATGTCCTGGGGTGTGGAACATTTAGAACAGATTGTTTGAGTCAATAAATACATTGTCAGAGAGAGTTCAGGAAGATGCTTATTGAATTGGTACTTGTAAGGGAAAAAAAAGGAATAATCTTCGGATTCTTTCGGTTAAACAGTCACATTTTCAACTTGTAAAATTAATCATTTTTGACTTAAGCTTTATAATGTGTGATACTCATATTCTAGTAATCATAATCAGTGATAAAATAAATTTTCGGAATTGAACTGGGATTTATTTTTAGCGGATTTATGTTCAATATTTTTATAGAAATGTTAAGGTTCTCTGAATTAAACTAGCTCGAATAAAAAATAAAGTAAAATGCTCCCGATGTTGTTTATTAATTTCGCTTTGTGTCACTTTTAATTTCAATAACAATAAAAAGATATTTGCATTGAATTAAAAAAAACAAGCATGAAAAATCATAGAAAAATAAATTTTATAAATGAAAGTGAAAATAAAAAAAAATAGTTTATATGTTCTATGCGATTTTTTAATTTTTTAAAAAATGTATATTCTTTTACTATATACTTTTATACTATATACTTATACTATATGCTTTTTATAGTATATACTTTACTGTATATATTTTAACTATATACTTTTGGCTCCATTATATATTTTTCATACAATGCAACCGAATTTTTAATTTATGGAAAAAGAACTAAATAAATGAAATAACGATTGAAAATGTTATTTTTTCTTTGCAATTCACGCGCAGATAGGTAAAGAACTACCTATTTTTACTAACAACACATTTGGGAGTCGATTATCTCTATAATCCTTTTGTCCGATTCTAGCAGATAATTTGAACAGAACCGACAGAAACCGAGAGCTTTTAATGATGTAAATGAATATGTTTTCCCAAGAGAAACTAATTTTATAGCATTAACTGTATCTAATCCGTTTAGATGTCCTAATGGGTTGTTTTTATTTTTCTAAACAGAAAGCCATAAAAATAAATACCAATTTGGATATCATTTATTCAGTTAGTATCGTATGATTAAGTTATGTACTCAATAAACCACTGATTATAAATAAAGACTTTTCTAAGAAATCGTGGTGAATTCAAGCACGTACTTTTATTCGAAATAAACGTATTTCAGTTTTCGAGCTTTGGGAAAATCAATAATTCTGATAAATACACGGGACTATTATAATTAAACTGTAATTCGTTGTAACAACCGAAATTAGTGAGTATCAAAGGATTGTATGGGAAAGAAGATTCCTGGAAAGATTTCTTTCGTTTCGACACTCGTCAATAAGGAATGAAGAATGAAACACGAAAAAGCATAAAAACTAGAATGGTAACGATAAGAAAAAGACGAATGAATGAATGAAGCTAAAAACACGAGTGAAAGTTTGATACAAATTATCATAAAAAAATGATCTATAATTTTAAATTGCCTTATTACTATAGAAAATAATATTGCATTAAGGTTTCCACTGATCTTTACCTTTTAGTAGTCCTTATTTCAAGCTATGCAGGGATAAAATTCATATATGAATGCAGCCATCAGCATCACATTTCTCCCTAGTTTTGAAATTAAAATCTTTTTGTCCCCTGTGGAATATCCATTCCTATTTTGCCCTTAGTATCTTTGCTAAATTTGGTGCCATTTCAACTATTAAAACGCATTAAATATGTTTTCAAGTAGGTGCTTTTTTTCTTGCTAAATTTGGTGCAATTTCAGCTATTAGAATGCATTAAATATGTTTTCGAGTAGGTGAAGGTGCTGTTTTTCTTGCTAAATTTGGTGCCATTTCAGCTATTAGAACGCATTAAATATGTTTTCGAGTAGGTGCTGTTTTTCATGCTAAATTTGGTGCCATTTCAGCTATTAGAACGCATTAATTATGTTTTCGAGTAGGGGCTGTTTTTCTCGCTAAATTTGGTGCCATTTCAGCTATTAGAACGCGTTAAATATGTTTTCGAGTAAGGGCTGTTTTTCTTGCTAAATTTGGTGCCATTTCAGCTATTAGAACGCATAAAATATGTTTTCGAGTAGGTTCTGTTTTTCTTGCTAAATTTGGTGCCATTTCAGCTATTAGAACGCATTAAATATGTTTTCGAGTAGGTTCTGTTTTTCTTGCTAAATTTGGTACCATTTCAGCTATTAGAACGCATTAAATATGTTTCCGAGTAGGTGCTGTTCTTCTTGCTAAATTTGGTGCCATTTCAGCAATTAGAACGCATTAAATATGTTTTCGAGTAGGTGCTATTTTTCTTGCTAAATTTGATGCCATTTCAGCAATTAGAACGCGTTAAATATGTTTTCGAGTAGGTGCTATTCTTGCTAAATTTGGTGTCATTTCAGCAATTAGAACGTATTAAATATGTTTTCGAGTAGGTTCTGTTTTTCTTGCTAAATTTGGTGCCATTTCAGCAGTTAGAGCGCATTAAATATGTTTTCGAGTAGGTGCTGCTTTTCTTGCTAAATTTGGTGCCATTTCAACTATAAGAACTCATTAAATATGTTTTCGAGTAGGGGCTGTTTTTCTTGCTAAATTTGGTGCCATTTCAGCTATTGGAAAGCATTAAATATGTTTTCGAGTAGGTGCTGTTTCTCTTTCTAAATTTGGTGCCGTTTCAGCTGTTAGAACACATTAAATATGTTTTCGAGTAGGTGCTGTTTTTCTTGCTAAAGTATTTGTTTGATATTATTTAAACCGAGGTCATCTTTTTGTAACACGTGAAAAGTATGTTTTTTTTTATTTTTCTAATTATTATCAAATGTATTACATCGAAACTTGCTTTTATTTTATATACTTTAGATAATACGATTGTTGTATATTAATTGTATTTCTTAGCATTTCGTACAGTTAAACAAAACAAAAAAACCGAGATGAGGTCATCATTTTGCAACGCACCTTTATGTTACGGTTAAAGTTGTTATTAATAATAACGACGTTTTTTGATAAATGTGATAAATTATGCGCATTGATCATATTAACCGATTATTAATTATTGCTAATGAAGTTTAATCAGTGGAATTAATTACGTATAATTTATTGAAATTTCAACTCTAAGGTAATTTTTATGTATCTGTGCTGTAATAATGAATCCGTCATTGAATAGACTACTGGAGTTTAAAAAAAATGAATCATGGGAAGTACTGAATTCTTCTTATGTTTCAACTTAAAATAATGGCTTTAAAAGCTCATTTTTAAAAAAAAATATATATGTATCATCGTATCTACTGATGAATGATAATTTTTTAAAACTTCATTTCATAAGTTTTATCATACGACAAATGGAGGTTTAATAGTATAAAATTCGAAACAACTTATGGATTGATTTCAATGCATTTACTTTTAAAAATATGTTCTGTATATGTTACAGTTAAAGTAATAAATATGGCTGTTATTAATAATTACTGGTCGTTAATTATAACAATGACAAGTGCTTTGACAATTACTACATTGATCAGACTTCATTGGTAATTATCAGTGATAAGCGCAAATATGATAAATTATGGTCACTTTAACCAATTTACTTGGTTAATAATCGATGATTGTTAATATCAAGCGGTTATAATTACATTGACCGTAACATATATGCATTAAGAGTAATTGTTACGGAAAACCTTGTACGTTTAGTACTCTAGTCTTCTGAAGAATCTAAATTTTCTGAATTAGTGGTCTCTCTGATCCTCTGGTCACATCTGGATTAGAGGCTTTAAATCGGAATATTTTTTTTTATCTAACTTATATGTAATTCATATAATACTAAAAAGTATATTAAATTTTAATTACGTTAAATTTTTATATTAAATTTATTATTTATATTAAATTTTTTCCACTGATTTTTTAAATCTAAAAATAGATATTCGACTTACCGTCTTTCGAGGAGGAGGATGATTGGTCTAAGAGTTTGTGGAAGATGAAAGTGAGCTCGGAGTGGTACGATGAAATTGTAAATTCCATTGGAAGCAAAGTCAGCGGCTAAGATGATACAGCGACTAGGCCAGTTATATTCTTTGGCATTTCGGAAAGAGCAGTGAATGCATACCTAAAGGAGATATTAAATCTTCAAGAGCTCGGAACATTTATTTATATCTGATGTAACAATCTAATCGATGAGCAACCTTCATTCTCTAAAGTTGCTTTTCGCAATGTCGAGACGAAAAGTGTCGGTTTATTAATTAGTTTAATTTGCATTCAGTAGAACTATAATAATAAAATGAAGAGTTTGTGTGTCGGTTTTTCTCTTATTAATCCGGAAACGTTTGCTCTATCGTTCTGAAATTTGGACAACGGCTGTAAGGAGCAATTGTAGCCCCCAATCCTATAATTCCTTCAAGCTTTTCAATTTACAATTCCTTCAAAGATAACATCCGTTTGCTAGCTTATTGCTCTATTTGATGAAAAAAGTGTTTGTTGCACGTACTTAAATATTTAATGATTTTTTATTCTCTATGTCAGACGTTATTCTCGATGTCAACGTTAACGTGGTAGCATGGACGTACTACGTCACCAAATTAGTATTTCTTAAGTGATCTGAAATCACTTGTTTATTTTGTTAATAGTAATTCTTTTAAACCAACGTTTCTATAAAACTAAATAATTTAAAATCAACGATAATTGAAATGAGAAAAAAAATAGTTTTGTTTTGAAAGGCAGAATTAATGAAAAAGTGGTTCTAATTCATTTTGGAGAAACGTAAAAAATCGCCATTCTAATATTGAAGCCATCATGCTTAGTTAATTTAGGTATTACGTATATATTGAAATAAAAGAAAATTTAAGTGATGCACTAAAGAGTATAGTTACTTATTTGTGCAGGAGAACTGTAAAAAAATAGCCAAACTAATACTGACGCAGATTAGACTTTATTAATTTTGATAACGTGTACTACTGGAATTGTGTTAATTGGATAGTTTTAAATAAGAATTCTACAATAGATTTTCCGTAGTTTTAGAAAAGATTTTTTAGTGATTAGATTTTTAGATTTTTTAAATAGTGTAGTAATATTTTAATTACTTTGCATTAAAAGAACTTTTTTAATTTAATACCGTGTTTCGACGAAATAAGTCATGTTATGCTTTTGTTGCTTACGCATGTGATACGTTAAAGAAGTACTCCTACGCGTAAAAAGGCAAAAGAAAAAATATTTACGTGTGTGTATATATATATTTATACTTTTTCCAGTTATTTTATTATGATAATATTTTTAAGTTCAAAAAATAGACTCAGGCCATTTTTGAACCCATCTTTTAGAGAGGCAACATAATACAGTGTTTCGACGAAATAAGCCCTGTTTTGCTTTTGTTGCTTACGCAAGTGATACGTTGAAATAGTACTTATGCACGAAAAAAGGTAAAAGAAATNTTTTAGCAGAGTTGTCTACGCTTTGATTTTTTGTCAGAAGCGTAAAATGTCAGACCTCACAAATTTTCAGAGAGGCTAAATTGTAGGAGCCCGACTAGTTGGAGCAACAGTGACCGAAACATCCTAGCTTTTAGGCGTTTCTAGAGGTACGGTGTCTAAAGTCATGACAGCATACACACAGCGCGGAAAGACAAGCTCAGCAAAGCAAAATAGTGGACGGAAGGAGAAGCTGAGGGAAAGAGACCGACGGGTATTGAAGCGGATTGTAATGTCTAAAAAGAAAACAACTGCAGTCAAAGTGAGAGAAGAGCTCAATCAGCACCTGGATTCTCCAGTGTCAACAATTACAGTTACATTAGAGAATATTTACGGCAGAACAGCAATTTCCAAGCCTTCAAAATCTAGGGTGTTTCTATTATTTTGATAACTACCTGTATATATACTTTTTCTAATGATTTTATTATGATTATATTTTTAAGTTAAAAAAAATGAACTCAGGCCATATTTGAACATAAACCCATTTTTTAGAGAAACAGCATAATACAGTGTTACGACAAAATAAGCCTTGTTTTGCTTTACTTTTGCAAATGATTCGTTATAGTGGTACTCATGCGTGTTAAATAAAAAAGCTATGAGCAAAAATATTTAAAAAAAAAACGAAATACCTCATAGATTTACCTTATTGTTAATTAATCTAGTTTAAAACTTCAGATTATTTTACATTTCGAAAGGGGCTTAACTCATTTCTAATAAGTTAATTTAATCCGTTATTTAACTAAAACATGTAAGTCATATATAAAATATATATAAGTTCCAAGATAATTTCCTCCGACATAACATAATAAGAGATAACCAATTTAAGTTTTATTTATTTATTTTCCCTTTAAATATATATATTGCGGAAGATGTATGTTTAAGATAGTAATTTATTCAAAATATTAAATTAGTGAAAATGAAATGAAATAATGGTGATTAAAGGAAATATAATTTATTGACAATAGGCTTTCAATATTAGTAAATTGAATAATAATAATTGAGATTAATTTACTTGAAGTTGGAATTCAATAACAGGTGAATAATTTGATTAAATGATGTGGAAAATCGAGAGATGTTTATAACTTTGATCTATTGACAATCTACTGAATCTTTGATCTATTTCAATTTCGACGAACCAACTTAATTAATATTGTGAATTTTACAATTTAATAGTACTGAATAAATTATTTTGGACAATTTAGTGATATTTTATAGCCATAAATTGAATATTATTCTTTTAGAATTCGATTGCTAACTATAATAGCAAATTCTCAGTTCAACTTCATAAGTATTTTTTTTTGAAGTTTTATTTGAACGGAATTTTAAACGATAATGTAATTTAAAACTCCGATGGTGCTATTTTGTATTTATATCTAACAATTTATAACATTTTCATAAACAGTTTAAAATAACAATGAAAAGAGTATTAAAATTGTCATTTTGGAAAATGAAGTAGTCAGATATTTCCTTGCGCCTAAAGGAAAAATATGCACTTATTTTTTAAATGTAAAAAAATAAGTGCATATTTTAGGTGACTACAACATGTTCAATTTCTTAAAAAAAAGTTTTGAGCTTATCCAATGCTTTTTATTTATATAGTTAATATGAATTGTTACGTAATTGATTGGTATTTATAACACTTTATTTCATGTACTGAAATAATTGTTTTTTGTTTTGTTAAACATTATATATTAGTATTGTTAAAATTTAGTTATGTTGTATAATATTAAATTATTGTCGTTTTACATGCAAGTAAATTAAATCATTAAAATGATAAGAGTTTTAAGGAAATTTTTTTTTGTCTTGTAATTTAAAACAATTATTGAGAAACCAACGTAATTCATTACACAGCCAAAGATATCAATTTTCAAATGAATTATGCTGTACACCTGAAAATTTCTACATAAAAAATATTTGAATGCAAATTAAATTTTAACGGTGAAAGAGTCGGGATTGGTTATAATGTTTCAAGTTTAAATGACTTTACGAAGATGACGTAATGAAATGGTGTTATAAACTTAATCTGACGAATAAAAGAAACAGGATAAAAGATCAGTGGAATACTATTGTATAAAGAAATCAACTTTGTATCTTTTTACTTTTGAATTCGTTTTTTTTTTAATGCCGTAAGTTATGGCATTTTTCTTATTTAACTTTTTTTTTACCATCTCAAAATAATAGCTGAAGTAATTGATGGGATAGGCCTAGTAAACAACTAGTTGTATTGTTCTAGTGGTACTAGGAAGTGGTAGAAGTACTACTAAGAAGAAGTAGTCATTTTTTGTAGTTTATCCTATAAATGGTAACTTTTTGTTCTGAAGAAACTAAGTTGTAATTTTTATAAAAAATCGCAATAAATAATTTAAAAAATTAGTTCATAGAAACTTGTTCTAATTTATTGTTATTAATACTAGAAATTTTAAAGAATGAAGTCGAGGCAACTTACTTGAGCTAATTGTAAACAGCACAAAGCTTTTTTTTCTTTTAGTAGATAGCACAACGTTGGACTCACTCCCACGTAAGGAGAAACTGGAGGAAATCCTTTAACAATTCTAAAAATAAATATTTCATATTGTATTTTTTTAACAAAAATAAATGTCAAGAAATGCTTTTTTTTATTAATTTCTGGATATTAAAAAAATGTACGGTATCAAACTAATATTACTTTATTAAGAAACTGATTGAAATCTCAAAGTCATTCATTCCAATAGTCTCGTTTGCCAAAATATATATATTTTAAACATTAAGAAATTTTGACACAAATAACCCGTATGAAATTTAATATTTTAAACTTAGAACAAATAAATCTTTTTAATATTTTTGCAAAATCTTTTATGGATACAACTGTAATAGTTTCTTTTATAATAAAACCTGACAAAATTAGTATCTCAATTTGAATTTAATAAAGATGATAAGTCCTCCCTTATTATTAAAGTTTATCGTCACCCTTTCTCTTTACTTCCTTCAATCTGATAGAGTTATTACTATATCTTAGTGAATGTACTGTGCGCACGAAATTAAACGGACCACGCTGAATAACTTTAATCTAATGATCGGATCTTAGTCCTGGGGACTATCTTAATGGTTTTAGAAGATAATATCAGATATCCTAATTAGTTAATGCAGATGATATTTTAAGTTACAAAATTGGACATAAAAACGTACTTTTTCAGAAAAACCATATCGTGTTTTTCAGTGGATTCGGATTTTACGCCCGAAAAATATACCCCAAATATACCTAAAGTTTGGACCCCTAATGTTAATTTTAGTTTTTTTGCATATTTTGCCATATCTCGAGAACTTTTTAAGAGAATAAAATCATTTTTTTTCTCTCAATTCGTTTATCTAAAGGTTATTGCATGCAAAAAATAACTTTGAATGTTTATTCTTTTTTATTATTTTATTCAGTAATAGTCGGAAAATTTTTTTTGAATTGTGAGGTATACAATTTTTTTTACATCTTTTCAAAGAATGTAATTTTACATGACAAAATTTAAACAAAATCGATCGAATAGTTCCTGAATTTTTCAAAACGTCGTATATCTGGAATCTGCCCTAATTAATTAACATAATTGAAGGCACTCTCTAGAACCATTAAGATTGAGTCCTAGAATGTAAAGATCCGATCGTTTGATCAAAAGTTATTCAGGGTGATCCGTTTATTTTCTTGCGCACTGTAAGTTGCTTTGTAAAACTTGATTCTTAGGATAGACGATGAGAATAAGGAATGGTGATTTAATAGATTGGTCTGTCACGTAGAAATCAATACACACTCCTGGGCACTGATAACCTTTACATCTCTTGATAAATGAATTCATTCAAAGTGGTAATCTTTTCAGTCACGACACCCTTGTTCACATAACACTGCTGACTAACCGAGGGAGATTCAACTCTTAGCAACAGAATATTAATTAATTAAGTGCATCGCTTGGATGTTTTGATCGGTGTTTGGAGCATTGGGGGAAGTAATTTGATTATGTTTAAGCTTAGGACGCTTTATTCTGAAAGAGTTTAATTAATTTAGGGTTTCTTAAAATCAATTTTTAAATTATGATGTTGTGGTGAAGAATATTTTCCAGATATAGCGCGACAAATATTGATTTGAGACGATAGTTTTTTTAGGTTAAGTTTAATGAAATTAATAAATATGTGTTTCCTTTTTCTAGGCTTTTTGTTAAATGAAAAAAAAAATCGATCTAGTTATAAAAAAATGTTAGTTGTTAAAAAGATAATTTTTAAAAATACTGTTTCAACATTAATACAACGTAGAGATGTTATGGAAAAACTTTCCTGTTTCTACTTGTAATAAGTTTTGGTCAATCAGATTATGGATACATTTAATGCAGTATTTTGTTTAGTTTACTTACAACCTTAAATAAATAGAGATGTTTTTTATATCTCCGTAAGGTTAACTTCTTCCTTTTGCTGAACTAGATCCACAATCTAGAAGAGTGCAATCATTGGTCTTTTGAAGGTAGCACAATGGGGATCTATTTAAGTTGAGGAAAAGGGGTGCAAAATCTCTTTAATATCAAGTTAAATCTTATTAGCGAGTAAAACAAATTATAATTTCATACCCACATAGCACAGAAAATTTAGTTTAAGTTTAAGGAATACTTAAATACTTCTAAAAATGTTTCTGTAATTTTCATTACATATTTCACCTTAATCGCAAACGTAAATTTTAAGTAGATAGAAAAATTATCGGATATAACTTTTACATAACACATGACTTTGAATTATCGGAAATTAAAACTGGAATAATTTTAAAATAGCATTATTGAAAACACTTTAAACCACGATTTGATTATACAATTTTGTTTAATCTTTGCTTCCTAATAAATTAGTTCAATTAGTTCATTAGTTAGAAATAAATGGCAGCATTATACTTCCTACTTATAGCCTCAGAAATCGTTTGAAATGTTTACGCAATATTTATTAGACATTTCTTAGATATAAATAAAAAGCTTTAATATAGTGGCGAAGGGAAATCGAACATTTTTAAGTTCTAGAAACATTACAATTGTTGTGTTAAAATTACTTGTAATCACGATTACAAGTAATCATAATTTTTGATTACATCAGAATAGGTCAAAATGTAATCCATTACATTTTTCAATTACAGTAATCAATTACTTGTAATCATGATTACTAATTTTGATTATAACTGCATTCGTGATTAAAATACTCAATTGCAGTAATCAATTACTTGTAATCATGATTGCAAGCATTCATAATTACAAACATTCATAATTTTGATTACAACTGTAATCGTGATTGCATAACCAATTACTGTAATCAATTACTTGTAATCGTGATTGCAAGTAATCAAAGTATATGATTACACGTAATTATGATTACAATTAATCAAAATATACGATTACAAGATTATTGTATACCAATATATGATTATCTTTCTGCAGTAGATAATATGATGTATCGTATAATGATGCATTTTGTACGTACTTACATACAATGTATGTACGAATGAATTTAATTAAACTATATGTACATATGTATTTATCTAATGCATATGTAGGTAAATGCATACGTACAGACATTTTAGTTACACTGACTTATACATACATTTGTATTGTATGTAACAAAATATATGTACGTAAGTATATATTTAATAATTATTTATGTATTTGCAAACAATGCAGACATTTGTACACTATGAATATATGCATTTTATGCAAATTCTCTTGTATGTAAAATATATATATCCGTAGTGTACGCATATATATACAAGTACTTGTTTGTAAGAAATACATACATTATTTGTACAATGTATGTCCCATGCATGTATCTACAATATATTTATATCTTGTGCATCTATGTACAATACATAAATGTCCCCTACACGTATGTTCAATGCATGCATGTACAATGTTTGTATGTCCTATGTCTGTTTGTATAATGTATGAATGTCCCATGAATGTATCTACGTATGTACAATACAGGTATGTCCCATGTATGCATATCCATATGTATTATATATGCACGTACAATATATGAATGTATGTACATACATACATACATTATATGTATTCTTATGTACAAACACTGTATATACGTATACAAGGGAAATACAATAAATATACATGAATATAATATACATAGATGCAAAATATGTATGTCCAATAAATGTATGTACATGTGTACAATATATTTATGACTAAATATGTATGCAATGTAATAAATAAAATAAATTTAAGTTAAGTGTAAAAACCACTGATAACGACTCAAGTAAGTCAAATGACAAAATCAAACAGTATTTAAATTTAGTTGTCAGCTTTAATTGTTTTATATCATCTTAAAATTGTTTGAATAAAAAATAATTTTCAGGTATTTTTATAAAATTTTGACACTACAAATTTATTTTTTTATAACATAATGCATTATTCATAGAAAGTTTTAAATGGTTGAAAAAAGAGATGCTAATTTTAAACGTGGAAATAATATTCAGGAATTTAAAATAAGATTATCGTTTGCTTTCCAAAACAATAAGAGATTGAGTTTTATATGTTTTAGAGCAAATTTTAAAACAAACTTTAATAACTTTACTGTTATGAAGTTTTTTCCTACAAGCACAATGTATCGTCATATATATATGTATTTAAATGCATATTTGTATTTATGTATATTTCTATATATGTATACGTTGTATGTACATACGTACATTGTCTGTACATGCAACAATTTATTTGTTTATTCATACATTACATGTGCATACCTATTAAGAAAGTACATACATATTGTACGTAAATACGTACAATGTATATACATACGTATACATGCTATTATCGTACATTCATAGACTGAATGTACTCACCTATATAAATGTATGTATATGTATATTTTCACCTATGTTCATACACATATTGTATGTGTATATAAACTTACAAAACATTGCATTTGCTTACAAACTAACTAACATGCGTGCGTGTATCATGTATGCATAATTATATGTACTGATCATATACGCATTGTATTATGTATATTGTAGGTACAAACAACGTTTGTAAATACATTGTATATGTATAGATAGGAATCACATAGAATGTATGTACATTCTATGTTCATAAAAATATGTATCCCCATACATACTTACAAAATGTATTTACATATTATATGGAATCGTAATTACTTGTAATCGTATAGTTTGTAATTATTTGTATCACAATTACAACTAATTGATTACTATAATCAAATATATATATNCAAACATATATATATATATATATATAGTATATTATTGGTGTCATATATATAGTATAATATTGGTATAGAAAATTGTATAATATTGGTGTCAGAAATGTTCCTTCCTTCTGCAATAGCTAATAGATAAGGGAAATAGCTAGTCAACAGATGAAATCTATATGTTAAAACTGAATTTTATTTAAAATCTCTTTCTTTTCTATTGCATTCGTGGATTCAAAAAGGTTTAGTATATGCATATAAAAGTGTTGTGTTTTACATAAAAAAAGGAAGAAAAAAATTCTCTCTTTTCTGTAAGTGTTTTAAATTGGGAGGAAGTAACAATTTTACTTTATAAGTTCCTTTTGAATTTAAAGCTATGTCAACTCAAAGAATTCATCGATATTTGGTCGTAAAAGTGTCTTCTCAATATTCTCTGGGTACTTACACGAATCTTTCATTGATTGATTATTTCATACGAAAGTAGCAAAGCTCGAAATCCGAGTTCGTAAAATGCTAACTCTCTAAGGAAAATATGAAAAATACCAGATGTTTCAGTCTTTGCTTATGCTTTCTGTGAATATGGGAAAATGAAATTTCTCCACTGTTCTACTTTTTTTTTTCATTTTTATTGCAATTCAATTTTTCTCTTATCGGCTGAAAAAGTTTTCTTTTTCTTTTATGAGAAATATGGGTTAGATTTTTAGTGTAGCTAAAAGAGTAAGCAAAAATTTCTGATTGTATGATATTGCCTCTATCGGTTTTCTGAATTTTATTTCTGTCACGAGTTTTGTATTGGTATGAATAAAAAAAAAGCTTTTAAATTCTTTATTTTCCGGCTTTGAATGAAGGAATTATAAGAAAAGATATAGATATTTCTGAATATGTTTAACATATTACTGTTCCATTTTTATCGATAAAGCAGGATTGAATTCAATTTTATATAAAAGGATCGAAGGAATAGTAAAGGAAAATAATAAGTACGTAAAAAAATTGGCTAAAAGCAATTCAAAATGAGTCACTTTTAGTTTAAATGTAAATTTTCTACATTTAAATTACATTTAGGTTTAGGGCAATAAAATGAAATTAATATTAGAAAATTTATGGAGCAACGAAAAATTTAAAAAAAAATTGAATTTTTCTATAATTTATCTTTTTATAATTATTGAACTAAAATATTGAATTGATTTTCGTTTTTACTTAAATCAATTCAATGTGTAAAAGTTCAACATAATATTTGGAACGTCCGTCGCAGATCTAGTGAACGAGTGCACTTTAGTTGATTAATGGATTTGCTTACTTCTATCAAAATATTTTAGTAAAATACGATCATTTTGACTATTTTCTCGAAAAGATTTGTTTAAAATATGTAAAAGGAATTCATGACACTTTCATTTCTCTATACTTAAAATTTGTCTTCGTCGCTGTTTTGTGTTTTCAACTTAACGAACTATTTTGGTTTGCTACTGAAACACTGAAAGTCTTAAAAACTTGAAATTATGATGGGGTTCAGAAAAATGTGTAAGGAATAAAAGTTTAATATATTATAACTAGTTCAAGAATTATCAATTGTTAAACTTGTAAGTAAAAAATACCATGTGAACTTATCTACAACACTCTGAAATGCTACTACGAAGTTGAAATTAGGCTTGCTAAAAGAGATTCTATTCATTCCATTTTATTTATGAACTTAGCATGAGTTTTTTTTTTTGAAATTTCTACTTGTTCGAAACTTAATGCAATTGTATTGTCAATTGTTTCTCAGTTTCTTTGCTTTAAATATTCACTATTCCTCCATTGTTGTAGAAACATTTATTTTTCTCTCTTTCGAGACCTTTATTTTATAAGAGTTCACGTTTAAGTTGATTTCAAAAGAAGAAAGAGAGGGAGAAATTAGAGATTGCCATGTGTGAATTTTAATATTTATACTGACATTTTTTTGAAAAAAAAAAAAACCCTATTACAAGAGCTATAAAAACCATTTCCCATTTGAACCTTTATAAGTCTTATAAACAAGCAAAATTGCTTTTCCTCTTTTTCTTATTGAGTCACATAATCTGTATTCTACAGAAAACTTTTTTTTCCAATTACAGATGATTATTTTATAAATCCAGATAAATCGATTATTTCGTTACGATTAATGTGTTGACAAAAGGTTCTTACAATCTTGTTAAAATGTTTTTTTTGTGTGAAAAATATCGTTTTTTAGGATAAAAAAATAGAAGGAAGAAAGAGAAGCAATTACGATGGTTGTAGAGACGGATTCTTTTATATAACTCTTCAAGTTATATAAAAGAATCAGAAGAACAGTAAAGTAAGGAAAAATAAAAAAAATAAGTGAATCTAAAAATTTTGGGGGAGAAAACATTACAGAATGTGTTATTTTTTATTTAAATGTAAATTTTACGGAGAAATAAAAAGGATATTAATTTTCGGAACTTTATTAAGTACACTATAAAAAATGACTTTAAATTCTACAGAAAAAAAATCAAGCATATTTTTTGCAAAAAAAAAGAAAAAAGAAAAAAACTGTTTAAAGATAAATACAGATAAATTCACTACCCAGAAAATTTCCATTTTTTCTGCAGACACATTCTCACAGTATATTTGAGGGCTTAAAGCTGTTTTTCACAAAATAGTTTTTCTCTGTTTTTCAACCTGATCATAAACGGATTAAAACCGTCTATTCAAATTCTAGTTTTCGCCTTGCAGCTTTGCTTTCCGTAAGACAACTATCTTGTCTCAAACCATATCACGATTATTTTCTATACTTGCTCTTATTTTTTTTAGAAATTATTTTATGGTTATGAGCATCGTATAAATAAATTTGCGATTCGACTTCATTCATAGTATAATTTTTCGGTTAGTTTAATAGACAGACATTTTTATAAGGAAGGCCCAATATAGTTTTAACACTTAAATATGATCTCAACAGGTAACAAGTTAAGAAAAAAAACAGTTTAAGATTTTTCTTTATAATCAAACACTAGAGCTGCCGGGGTTCAGGAGACAGAGCGCTTGCCTCCCAATTTCGTGCCCCGGCGTTGACTGGTCATTGAAATTCTACTCTCGGCTCGCGAGAGCGGAGAGCAGAACCAAACATTTTCTCCCTTCTTTTTTAAATAACAGAGTTTGTTTGTTAAAATAGCAGTACTTAGTTGCTTAAAAAAACAAGAAGTTCGTTTCTAAGTAACAGTATTTTTCTGTGAAATAAACGTTTTTATACTGGCACAAAAGATAACAGTTTTTTTTTCTGTAAATTTCACAGATTTTTCTACAGTGTATCATAAATTATTAAAGATCTACAAATTAATAATATCGATGAAATAAGATTGAATGCAATGTCATATAAAAGAATCATAAATGTAGTAACGGGAAAGAATAAGTAGATCAAATAATGAGTGAAAAAGAACTTAAAATATATTATTTTCGATAAATTGCAATTATAAACGCTTATAAAGTGTAAAACAATTAAACGACTTAAAATATTTGTGTCAAATTTCGAAAAAAAATATTTAGTGTGTGTAGAGACTTTTGAAATATAATAGTTGAATTTTTTAATACACGACTAACATACTAATTTTTTTAAGCATACTAATGTTATTCATTGTTATGGAATAGTTTGGCCTAGTTAGAAATCAAGAAGTCAAATTAAAATCTAGTTATTTAAATATTCTTGTTGAAAACTTTATGTAAGCTTGAAACGGTACTTACTCGCAATTTTCTGCAGGTGTTATCCAAGGAATATCCAGATAATTTTCTTCTTCCTCTTCCTGTTGACCTTTAATGCTATCTTCTTGCTCTTCCTCCTCTTCTTCTGAGTCAGAGTCTTGACCAAACATTGCGGGAACAGGTGCAATACTCGGGCGCCTACCTCTAGCAAGCGATGAACTAAAACTATCAGTGCTAGCTGCACCATCCATTTTGGGCAGTTCGAGATGTTTTCCGAACTTTTTTTTCAGTTTTAGAGCGAACCGCGTTCGCATTGGACTCATTTCGAACGATTTATATTCTAAATGTAGAATGTAATATTTCAATTACGTCATAAACGAACAAGTATATATTTTTAATAAATAGAAATCAATAATAGTGAAGTGCTTATATACTATGTTGCTGGACAATTGAAAAAACAACGTAAGTGCTTTACGATAGATATTAAGTAAAGTGGGTTGACAACTATTTTCTTTCTATTGCTAATGCTGATAAAACAAAATTTATTTTCGAATCTTTTTTTTTTTTTTCAAAATATATGCGTATCATATAAAAGTGCCAAATATATAATAATCTCAATTTTGAATTACTTATTGCTTACTTTGATTTTTCTATTTCACGGCAGTATACAAGTATACGGAGAAAAGAATTATGGTAAAATTACAGTACTGTATGGTTAAAACATTTCTGATAACAAAACCCCCATAATTTTGGTAATAAAACCAAATTTTATGATAATTAAATCATTCATTTGGTAATTTTTCCTCTTATATGCTAACTGTTTACTAGAAATTCTGGTTTTCAATTAGTTCTTATTATTACACATTTAGTAACAAATACAAATTATAAAAGTAAATATTACAGAATAAATGGTTTTTATGCCATGCTCTAAGGTATCATGATAAAATCCCCCCATTTACTAAATTTTTGCACACGTTATAAAACAATACGATATTATAAATTTTACCAAAATCATTACCAAAGCATTTCTGTAAAAATAACCGTGCCTTTTGGCGTTCCCATGGATCCAGAAAATTGTACCATATTCTGGTAGTTTTGACCATACTTTTTTTAGTGTATAGACACTTAAACACTTATAAACTTATATGCATATAAACTATACAAGTGATTTTTCATAAGTCTAAATTTGATTCCTTTTTTTTATGAAAGCTTAAAATTTATTCATTATAATCAATGTTAACATTTAGTGGTTGGTGTAAGTTTTAATATAAAGAAGGTAATTGGTTAGAAAAAGATAATATTCCTTAAAAATAATATTTCTCTAGAAAGAGGTAGTATTCTTGAAAAATCTTATTAAGATTATTCTTTAAGGAATTAATTTTCTACTTTCTATTATTATTTTTCTACAAAAATAATATCCCTTATAAAAAAGTATTTCTTTTGAAAAAGAATTATATTCTTTTTTTCTATTAACTCCTTCAATTCCGATGACTTGCATAATAAATATGACGTGCATAATAAACGTTCATAATAAATCTGAACACGTCTAGCTCGAATCATTTTTGAGGTAAATCCATATCAAATTTTCGAATTAGTAATTTGTTATTATTAGCAGCACAAGAACTTATTTCAGTAACAAATGAACTATATTTTGAAAATATTGTTAAAGTAAATTATAGCTGTGACTATACAAATGGTATGTTCTTTAATACACAATTTTTAAAGTAGTTGAAAAGTAATTAAATTATCTTTTAAGATTTTAAAAGCATATATTTAAATTTATCATTATTTTTTTATTTTGCCAGCAGGTAAATTATTTATTTCAGTTTCAAAATGTGGAATTAAGTTTTGTTACTTTGTAAACAGTTAAACTAATTATAGCCCTTTACTTCCTTTGCGCTTCATTAAACAATCAAGCTTATATTAGTTTCAGTTTTCACTCTTACTGAAATCGATAAAGATTTAGTATTTTAATAATTTTTTAGATTTTGTTTCACATAAGTACTAAATTTACGACTTCTAATGTGCATATTTATTTGATTACAATTTTGTTAAAGATTTCAAATATCTAAACTTCTAATTATAATCAAATAGAAGTTAATAGACACAATTATTGGATTTAATTTCGTGCTTATGAAAATATATATAACAATAAATAATTCAGAATCCTTTAACTTAACATACATTTAACTCATCATACACTAAAAATATCTCTTGCAATTCAAAAAATATTAAAAATAAAAATTTTCGAAGTCTAAAAATCTATTAGAAGCATCAACATAAAAATCTTTGCAGAGCTTTATATCAACCTTTTGACAATTTATTTATCAGTATTCAAACAATGTTCGTTTTAAATTTTTTTATTATAAAAATTTGATTTAAAAAAAAACAGTTTTATACATTTAAAAAAGTATAAACTTTGAAATAAAGCTTTAACATGATGTTCAGAAGAAATTTTTTAGAAAATAAATATCAATAAATATTCATAATATATTATTAATTATTATTGAAATAGCAAATTAACTTGTCATCCTGCACACAGCATTTTGTGCGTTTTTGAATGTTCAAAAATATACTTTGAGTATATTTTTAAATTATAAATAAAACATATTTATTTTGTATTAAATTCTATAGTATCAAATTATAGCTTGTAATTTTTATTAGCTCTAAACTGTGAATAATACTTTTTTTTATAAGTTATGCAGTTAAAATGTTTTGGATTTACTCATGTCTTTCGTCAGCGTAAACGATCACATGACCCATTTAGGGTAGGAATTACTGATTATTTTGTTTTTATTATTATTATTATGCATAATAGCACCATACTTAGTCGAAGTTGTAAATGATAATTCCATTTTGACTTTAATCACGTGCCAAAACTACTTTTTTTAAAACAAAACAAAACAAAACTTTTAGTTTAACTTACTATGTTCCACAATCTTCATTTTTCTTTAAACGTAAAAAAAAAAAAAAAAAAAAAAAAAAAAAAAAAAAAAAGACTATAATTTTTAAAAGTTAAGCCATAAAATTAAATGTTGAATATTACACTTTTCAATTATTTTTTCCAACTTGTTAATAAAAAACTAAATGACATGCTGTAATTACTACAGTAAATAAAAGCATCTATGTAAGGAAATATTCATTAAAAAAAAGACTTGAAATGTAATTTTTGCAGTTTTGGAATTAAAAAATTATATTTATTTACTTCTTAAAGACAATTAAAAATGCCATGCTTCCGGCAGTTAAATTAAATTAGTTTGTTTTGAGAAAAATGAATTTAAATCCTTGATGAAACAAACATTTTATTATAGTAACTTTTTTTTCAATCTTTATTAGAAAAGTGTTCGATTAAAAGTAAAACGAGTTAATTTTTCTCTCAATAAAATAGATTAAATGAATTTCCCTTTATTCAGGAATTTGATTTTTAAGATAATTAAATACCAATTGGTTAGGAAGTTTTATTCATAAACGTGATTTAATAGTTTATCGAATGTGAAAGTAACAATTGAAGTTTTTGTTCATTTAAATACTTTCTTTCCCAGGTATGAAGAATACAGTAACTTTGTTTAAACTATATTAAATTTGAAAATATAGATTAATTTAGGCTTTAAGTATTAAATTTTTTGGAAGAATAAGTGACATATATTAGTTTATAAATGCTTGTTTCACCATTAAATTTTTAATCCAGTTGTGATAACATTTCAAGAATTTGTTGTGTTTTAATTAGATTCTTCTTTTGAAATTTTTTTTTCAAGAATTTAGGATGTTTCAGCACACTTTTTTTCTTTGAAAATTTTTTCTATGAAAAATTTAATTCAGATTAGCTGAGAAACTGTAAATTTTATCTAATTAAAAACTATACAGTGATTTCGTTAATAATAATTTTATTTAAAAAAATATTTATCAACTAAGAAATTTCTATGCTTAACTCTTAGTAGAAACAGCTACATTTATTAACTTATAAATGCTTTCATATTATAAAATTTTTAATCCATTTTGTAATACCATTTCAAGAATTAATTGTGCTTTATTGCATTTTTCTTTTTAAATTTTTCTTAATTATTTATTATGCTTTACATTCCTTTTTCGAATTTTATTACTATGAAAAATTTGATACAGTTAAAATAAAGAACTGTGAATTTTATATCATTAAAAACGAAATAGTGTTTACGTTTATAAAAATTTTATTAAAAAAAATCTATCTACTAAGGTTATATGCTTATATATGATTAATACAATATGCTTAACTTTTGGTAGAAAAAGTGACATTTATTATTTGAATTCGTTAAATTTTGTCATTTGTTTTTTCGAAAAATTTTCCTTAAAAATTTTTAATTGTATAAAATGCTTCCTTATTTATATTTTTTAGCTGTCTGGTTTAAAATATTAAAAATTCTTAACGGACTGTTGAGAATGTATTTAATGGAAGAAGAACTAGAAGCACGATATATGAATTGCTGATAAGTAATTTAGACAGAATATCTGGAAATAAGCATCTTGTTTCAGAACTATGCACAGATATTGCATTCATTGTATCGCAGTTACAGTGATATGAATAGAATGTGCGTAACTTGTATTCAGAATGGATTCAACAGAATTTAATATATAGAATGGATGCCATGAGAGTTTCAAACCGTGAAGATTTGTTCATGTGAAATCTAGAAATTAATCGTACCGAGCATGATTTGTTTTTGATTGTTTTTCTTTTGTCGGAATCCATTCTACTCAGGTTTTTAGGAGAATCACAGAGACAGTCTGGAAAGAAAAAAAAAAAAAAAAAAAAAAAAAAAAAAAAAAAAAAAAAAAAAAAAAAAAAAAAAAAAAAAAAAAAAAAAAAAAAAAAAAAAAAAAAAAAAACGCGTGTTTTTCCATCGAATATTTAAAACCTCACAACGAATAAAAACCTGTACATTTTTTCCTTATACCATTCTATAGGTAATAAACTTAATTCTAATTAGTTAATAATATAAACAATAGGGATAATAAGATAAATTGTAGGACATTTTACATTGACTTCGCAACATTTTTTGGTACATAAGATCGAAGCTAGCGTTTTTAACTTACGGAGTTATGCAAAATCTCTTATTTTCACTTCAGTATGTTTTATAATTTTTATATTTTATAACCGTCGTTGAACAGCCGACCCAATTTTATGGGTTTACGACTACTAATGTTCAACCCCGTAGGCTTGTACCTTTGTACCCAATACAGATGACAAGGGAACTCCTGGATCAAGGATTGGGAGAAATTTGCCGTCGTGGAGGACTTTTTGATGGAGCTAAATCGCATTTGCGTTACATGGAGAGAAAGACCGCGAGAACCTCCCACAGTTAGCCTGACGGCTAAGGGATTCTAACCCATGATCCGTCTACCACTGAGGATATTTCGCGACAACACTGGGGTCCGTGCAAGCCGGATGTGGAATTCGTATAGACTGGGATTTGGAAGGCGAACCCTCTATCCCCTGAGCCATCGCAGCTCATTTACGAATGTTTGATATTTTTCACAGGCGCATGCGCACTTCACCAGAACTGATGCATGCGCAGTTATAGTGCGCATGTACAATTATTGAAATCTTACTTACGGGAGCGTACGGAAGGTAACGCAAATTTGCGAAATGTCCCTAATGTTAAATAAAAAGCACGTACGACAGATACGGTAAGATGGCTTCTTAGAGATATTTGAAATATTTTTAAAAAAAGTAAATAGTAAAGTTGTTCATAAAAATAAACAATTCTTTCTTACACTAATTTATCTACAAAGTTTTCGTTTAAAATTTTAAATTTATATCTTATTTATAATAAAAAAATTACATGCGAAGTATCTTCGTAGGGAATATGTATAAAAAAGTTGAGTCGACAGGCATGCCAATTTTCATCGTATCTGACTAAAAATAAGTAAGATAATAATAAAATAAGTACACTGGGGAAAAAGTAGGGCTAAAATTACCAGAATATAGCAAAATTTACCGTGTATCTGGATCAATGGAAACACCATTTGGTAATGACCATTGGTAATGATTGTAGTAAAACTAATTATGATTTTATAATATGTGAAAAACTTTGATAAATGTGGTGAAATTGGTAATTTTATCACACCTTAGTGCATGGCACAATAACCATTTATTCGGTAAAATTTTCTTTTCAGTCTTGTATTTTTTACTAGATATCTAGTAATAGGAGCTATCATTTTGAAAACTGGAATTTCTGGTAAACCGTCACCATATGAGTGGAAAAATTACCAAATGAATGTTTTAAATACCGTATATATTTTTTTGCTAGAAATATGTTTGTTGTTTTTACCAAAATATTCATTTCTATACAGTACGATAATTTTAACAGAATTATTTTCTCTGTGTAAAAATTACTCTATTAAAAACACGTAAATAGTTAGAAGAGTCATGTGTGTTTAATTATTTTTAAACATTTAATATTCTAATAAAACAATATCTTTTTTTCTGTTATAAATGTCATCTAATTATGAAAACAATCCATATTTCCGATTTCTACAATATTACCATAAAAATAACCAGAAGATTACCAGATTCTCCCATGTGAAGCTGAAGCATGGACACATGGGGACTCTTGGAGGGTTTCCCTCCTTCCTCCTCGCCACTTGCAGGAAGAAAAGCACTGTTTTCTTCCTTGGTGATGTTCATGTAAAAACAGATATCTGATGACTGCATATGATAAGATGGTCCAGGATTTAACATTATAGGCCACGTGTCTGGGATATCTGTTTGTACACCAACCAAAGCTACACCATATCTGTTTTAATGCACAAGAGCATTGTAATTAGTACACATAATCAGAGTGATTTTTATATTTCGAAGTAATTAAATATGTTAATTCAAATTTTTCGAATCCAAGCTCGAAACCCAACTTGGCCGACTTTCGAACTTTCCTCATATTTCTGTCCTTTTTTTTTATTTATACCAATCTATATTTCGATATTTTTATTCATTAAAATGCAGTAAAAATGTTAACATTTGAAAAGTGAGAAGGTACATACGTTCTTAAGTGTAACTTTTCATTCTTGGGATTAAAAACTTTATCGCAAGATTTTTCTTTGTGAATTTCAATTTTAGTGCTTTTTAGACCTATTGAATGTTATTAACTATTACTATTAAATTTTTCTACAATTGGGTAAAAGATGTAAATTGCAAACCGGTGGTTGGGGGGAATTTTAAAGAAGGCCAATTAGGTTTGCCGCGTCTTCGAACGTATGCACACCAAATTTGGAGAAGATCGTTACAGAATTGCCGATTTGTATAGGATACATACATACACAAAAACATTCTGCTTTTCATATAGATTTTAAAAAAAATGCCCAAATTTAGCAGTAAAAACACGATTCGGTAAAATTATTAATTAAATCGTGTAACAAGTTGTACTTAACACGGGTAGCGAATAAAGGTAAGCTTTGTTACGAGTGAAGTTTAAACTAATTCCTCAAGAAACTAAAAGACTGGTAGTAAAATTTTTATTCGAATATTTGAAAGCCTTTAAAAGAAATATTTCTTTAATTTTTTTTAAAAAAAGGTAAAAAGGTGAGTTTTTGAATATTCTTTAAAAAATTTTGCTACCAGTGTTTTATTTTTTTGAGAACGTCGGTCACCTTAGTTCAAACTAAGTAATTATTGATTCATGCAAATTGATATTCTACTGCGTTTCATTTTCGTGTTTATAAAAGTGGAATTTTTCAATTGACTCAACTCTCAAATTTATCAACCAGCTATAGCAATCAAATTTTAACTGAAGCTATGATCCAGATGAAACTGCTGGTAAAATTGTATACTTTATTATCGGCAAATAGATCGTTAATAGAAATTTCGACTACCTAATACTAGCTAGATAGCCCAGAACTTTAACCGAAACTCTATCCGTGATGTTAATGCAAGTTACAGTTATTTTTTAAGGGTGCAAGAAAAATATTTTGATAGTTTGTCATCAATTAAAACTTTGATGTCTTTCCTTAAACAAACTAACAGGCAGATATATCTGAAAGGAAGAAATAAAAATCTCAATGTCTACTTATTTCAAGTTGACTGAAAAGAAGCAAGTGATTCTTTATGTCAGAGCGAAAACGAAAATTGAAGGAGCATTACTGCCGTAAAATATTTCGATCGACGTTATTTAAAAGTGATGCGCACCCTACATTTTTCGTCTTTGGTCTGAAAAAGGCAAAAATATTTTCTTCTTTCCAGTGAACCTGAAACGTGCAGTTTTTTTAAGCATTAATTTTATTTTATTATAAAATGTTATTAGAATAACAGTAATAGAATCAGATAATAATGTTTTCATAAAGCTGTTAGGATTCATTTTGGTTCCATAATACGACAGTATTTTATTAATTGCTGTAAATTTAATAAAACACTAACAGTTTTATATTAATCTTTATATTTCTTGCAGTTCATGTTCTTGTGCAATTTATATTTTAAATTTTGAAATAGTTTTAAATACAGCCACTCTAACATGAGCGCTCCTTTAAACTTGAGCATAGTAGCAATGAAATTTCTGTTTTATAACCAGCCGCACCTGTTAGAGATACCCGTAATAGCACTTGAATTCGTAATAATTCGATTAACTACGTAATTTTAGGATATTATTTAGTTCGCATATTTTAGAATTCGTAAGTTAGAAACCTAAGAATTATTGATTAAGTTAAGTTTAAAATGAAAAAATCTTACTTTCTATGGGAATGAAATGATGCATATGTAAAGCTCTTTCCTTCGTATTCTCCGAAGAATCTACTGTCTCCAAGGCGTATGTGGTAAATTTCATTTCCAGAGCACTTGCCATAGAGTCTATGCCATTCCTCACCAGAAGTCTGCCCTTCTCTTTAAAAGAAAAATAAACATCACCAGTTATGAATAATATTTTAAGCTAACCATTTTAATATTTTCATATTAATTTAAGAAATAAATGAAAACATATTATTCAGTGGTTGATTTATAACAAAGAAAAGAAGCATTTTCCTACAGGACATTTTTTAAAAAATATTTAAATATTCTGGAATTTTGTTTTTATTCTATAAGCTACACCCTCACGCTTATTGGTGCGTTGGGTAACGCGGAATATACCAGAGGGACGTGCAAAGTACTGTTTTGCAAAATTTAAAATGGTTACAAATTAAAAGATTATAATATAATTTTGCTTTTTCTGTCTGAAATAATAGTGGTCATACAGTGACTTTTAGATTATATTTTACTAGGGGACTAAGCCCCCTGTTCGTTGCCTCTCACCAACCCCTATGATTTTTTTCGTAATAATTTTTTTTTTGGCAGAACACAGTTTTTCTACTAAAGTTAAAATTATTCACTTAACATCTATGTACTAAAAGGAATTCTGTTTGTCTACGCTTGTGTCTCCACTCCCCACGTCCAATATTATTATCCATTAGTTTCATAAATATTTAGATCTACTGGTGAACAGAAGCAATTTTTCTATAAGTAATCATTTTTTACAATTACATTTATATTGTTATAACTATATATTGTTCGAACAAATTTGATGAGTTCACGACCGTAATTTAATATTTTTGCTTACCAAACTGGCGAATATATTAAATATTATATTTGTACATATACTCGTATATCATGCACATTGCCAGCTTGCGATCAAAATAATATTAGGCAGAACGGCAAAGTTGAACGAAGGAACCCTCAAGAATTACTTCGGTTACGACATGTCAGTATATATGCAGGATGATTCATAAAGAAATATACTGTTTCAATACACTATAGTTCAAGAACAATGTAAAAATATATGTTATGCATGGAAAAGAATTGTATGGGAATATTTTAAGCTTTGTTCGAGACAATGAAAGATGTTCTATATGTGACCCCTTAGTCACAAGATACACACCGAGCCGGTAATCCATTTCCGCCTAAGCCCATGTTAGGGTATCTGAATTAAGTCCATCAGTGGAGATCAATTCTTTAGTCTCTGATGACGCAATATTTCATGTTAGTGGGAAGGTAACCAAGTAAAATGTTCACTTTTGGGGAACAGAGAATCCCAAATTCACAGAGCAGCACGCACCATCCGTTTGTGTAGCATTTTCGGGTCACATGCCTTTTAAGTAAGCGTGTTGCTTTTCTCAGCAAAAGCGTAAAAATTTGCTTCTCTTTGACTAGTGATTCTGACCAATTTAACTTTTAAGAATATGCCATTCAATGCTCTTTAATTTTTGGTGTGTTTAAAAATTTAGTTGTGATTCACCGTTTATATATTTAAACGCTAATCCGAAAAAGAAAATTCCAATGTTTCACTGTTTTTTGGCTTTTAAAAATTTTATTCACTACAAAAACCGTTTAAAGCTTGTATTATTCGTATTTGAGTTGCCCAACGTGCTTAAAATCTTTTCGTCTTTTTTTAGGAATTAATACGAGGGATTGTTTTTTGGTCAAACATGAATAGTCTCAAAACACACACACAAAAAATAAAAACAAGTTAAAAGGATGACCTCTTTACAGGTGATGAGCTATGTAAAATTTCTTTATTTAGGCTCAAACTTATCGCAACCTTAGGTGTAGGCTTAAAATTGAGCTTAGTTTCTCCTTAAATTGAACCATATTATAATGTAATCCGATTCAAAATTTTACAGTTTAGTTTTGAACCTTATTAATGTTGTAGCAAATGTGAATGATATTAAGATTCAAAACATTTCAAGATTTTAAACAAAATTGTACATAGTACAGAAAAACATTTTTCAATAAAGTTAGGTCAACAATATTTAAACATGGTTAGAGAAATAAATTTTAAACAAACGTTTCATTGTCTTTTCTATGTTAAGGGTGATTACGGTCACATTCAAGTTATTTTATTGTACTTCAGTGTTTACTGCTAATTAAATACTTGTTTTTCATTTAAACAACTTCCGATTAAAGTTCTTTTATTTGCAAGATTTTAACGAACCACGTCTTGAAAGAATTCGCATAATAACAGTAATTGAAATTATTTTTCGTCGTAAAATTTCTAAAGACAACGATTTAACTAATGAACGGAAATGATTAATCCATAAACTTCCTTGAACTGACTAAATCTACTTAATTATCTTAAAAGAGAAGAGTCTTGTTCAGTTTGTTAACCTAATTTTTACTTTTCTCTGTGTTTTGAGCAACTTTTAATTGGTATTAAGCTTAAGGCGATTCTGCTAAATTTTGTTCTAACCAATAATTAACCAGCTAGAGTGCAGTAAAAATGACAAAGGATTTGCTCAACTGCAGCATAAAGTGTTGAAACTGCTCAAAAACAAATTGTGTTTAATTAGAAAGTTTATTGTTGCACTTTGCTAAATATTTAATCCAGTGTATGGAGGAAAATTGCGATACAAGTTGGTGACATGACTTTAGATCAACTGAAAAAATTGCCAAAACTACGTGTTTACGTACCTAATTAGAATCATGTTTTTCGATAATTTATTCTATTTTTCAATAACAGTTTTAATCGCTTACGGCTCAGAGTTTCATCTTGTAACACTTTGTTCTTTTGGGGAGCATGCCTTAGGATAGATTTCAATATGCTAATTAACGCTATGGGGTGTATACGTAATTCAGACAAATTATTCAAAAAGTCATGAATGGAAAGGTTTGGGACATTATATATGATGAATCACATCTTTTCTTAGGATAATTTTTTTACATTAAGCTGTTCCTTAATATTGTTGCCCTATAGGAACTTCATCAATTTCTGGAATTTTACTTAGATAGTAGTATAATATGCATCGAAACATCTTAATAATTTTTCATCAAAAATGTTCTCCTGAACTATTATATTTAAATAATGTGGTTTATTATTATGTTGAGATGACCTATTTGAAGATCAGATCCTCTCTTAAGATCTACAGATTTTTGATAATTTAAGAAATAATATACTTTAAATGTAATTAAATATTTTGATTACGCAATTTATCCTTCTTTTATTAAACTTTAAAACAATGTTTCTAGCGTTTCATGATCTTTTTTTTTAAAAAAAATGTGGTAACCAATTTTTGTAGTACGAGTTGTGGACTTATCAGCCTTTCTTGTTTATAAATTGATTCACTGATTTATTCATTTAGTAATGAACTAATTCACCGATTCACTTACTTAATGCTTCACCCATTCATTAATTCATTAATATGCTTATTCAGTATTTTACTAATACTTTACTAATTCAATGAATAGTTTCTTCATTTATTTGTTCATTTGCATATTATCTGATACTCATTTACAGATTTTAAATCCATCTCTTTTCGTTACATTAGTTTTCTTATTAACTCTTATCTCTTTTACTTTTTTAATTTAATTGGGAAATATTGAATGATTATCGCTTAGTTAAAAAATAGATAATCAAATTTTAACTACAGTTTTAAAAAGAAAATTTAAGTTCAAGAAATTACGAAGTCTTAGTTTAGTTTAAATCAAATATTGCAGTAAAAACTCGTTAAGGTATTTGTGCTGGAAATGTATATTTTTTTCCATTTAGTTAGCAAAACATATGCTGGGTCAAAAAAGAAATGATCTAAGAAAACTGGGCAAATAATGATATAAATTACTGTATCTTCTCTACATCTATATATAAAATATGTTGAGTATAAATTGCACTCAAAAGTGAAACATCTAAGATTTTATACTGTTGGTTATGTCTATATGTTTTTTTATAGAGTATTCTGTATAGTTTATTTAACAGATTAAAAATATTTTACTGAAACTCGTAGTTTTTGTAGCATTTAAAGTGAAAAAAAGGTGGTACTTGAATAAGCTCTTACAAAACTCTCCTCCTCTATCGATCGAGACATTTGGCATGCCAAGCAGAACATTTCCCTTTTTCTATAAATCTGACGTATTTCAAAATCATATTATATTTTCTACATGCTTTTTGTTTCTTGTCTCTATTAACGAGGCGTAGATAGGCATCCAGGGACAAACTCAGTTTTTTGGGCCTTTTGTAATATGGTGCAGGACTTAAAAGAAGGACTCTTAGGGACCATTTTTAGTTTTCAATAAAGTAAAAATTTAACTTAACCGCAATAGGAATTCTTTTTCTTTATTACTTATTTATTTATTTAAAATTTTACATTAAATAAGATTCTGCAACGTTATAAAACGATTAAGACAACATAATTCGATAACTTCATAAATTTTCATTTCGTACGATTTAAAATTTCATTTTATTTCATTGGATTTAAAATTTAATAGTGCATGTTATTCATTTATTTTCTATTACAATTGATTGCGTTTTTTTAATTGAATGATACTCATAGTTTCTAAAGACATTTTTAATGCAACCTATACTCACAAAAATTTGTTAAAAACAATAAAAAAAAGTTAAAACTACGCGCAAAACAAACTACACTATTTAGATACATCCGCTTAAATTTTTTAGGTAAATCGAATAAAAATTTGAAGAAGTTAGAGGCCCAAAATAAGCAAATCAAACAGGGTATATTTAAAAAAAAAGAAAATAATTTTTACCCCGGAATGCATTTTTAATTATTTTTCATAAATTTTGCTCCCCTCTAAGGATGCGCCCGGGACAAATGTCCCCTTTTGCCCTTTTTGGCTACGCCACCGCTTGCAGTAGTATACTATCGCAGAAGAGTTCCCTTTGTTACAGTAGTAACACATAAATCATATGTTAAGCACAAATAAACAAGTAAATTTGCTTTTTTTGTGCTACTGTTGTTTTATAATATTTTGATGCTTACTGTCCTCTGGATGTATGAAGTAGTAATGTGACAAGAGTAGATGTTCCTGGGCAAAGGCAGTTATTCGCCAGTAGAGCATACTTAAACTCATCTTCGCACACAACATGCTCTGAAAGAAATGTAAAAAAATGTAAATTAGATGACACATTTGGTATTAATTAGGGATTAGTTAATAAAACAATTTTGATGTAGACAAATTATAGCAATAAATATACATAAGCAAACATTTATATACATTAATATCTTGTATTTTTATAATGAGATTACTCTGCCCTGTTAATTTGTACATGCATGATTTGCTCGACAAATTGCTTGTATTACTGTTCTACAAAAGTGTTAATGAATATTTCGGCTGCAACTGTCAGTATACTACTTCCCGTGGTGTGTTGCACAGCTATGCACAATACCTGTGGCTTTATTTTTTCATTGTGTTCACTAAAATCATTGTCAAATAGGTTTTCATAATTTTGGAAATCAGTTTTAAAAATATTCTCAGTACCATATTAGAGTTTTCTACGAATTTTGCACCTGTGGTCTGGCATCTACTTTAATTTTTTCTAGTAATTCAGGTGTCATTAGTTCGATTTTTGTTTTGCATATAATTTTTTTATATACCTGCAGGTATTAATTGCAGGTTTTAAATTTTTTGCCTTACAAGTATTACTTTTTTCGGTGACATTTAAGGGGGAAAAATCAAATAAAATTTCAAATTATAAAAAATATATTATTCAATGCTTTTCTTTATTTCTATTTTAAAGCTCTGATGATGTGCATAGGTGTTCTAGTTGTAGCATAAAAATGGAACTTCAATTAACTCATTCGATCAAATAGCCCAGCTCTCTCTACAGATAGTATTTAAATATTATATACTGAAGAGCAAAAACATACCAGCAAATGCAACATGAACTTTATTTTCAGGACGGAAGATCTGCACGTACTGAGGAACGTTGGGAGCAAAATCACGCACTGCCCAGGACCTGAGAATAGTATGCTCATCCTGAAAAATAACGAATGACATTTATTTTAACAAAACAAACCACACTTACTCGCAAAGAATTCCTCAGAAAATTGCAAGTAAAAATTAATTAAGATGTCGATAGCAACACTAAAATTCAATCCAAAAACAATCACGAGAATGTTATCTTAAAACTAATTAACAAGCAAGTTTAAATTTGGAATAATGATAGGCCTTATAAGAGATATGCAGTTATAGTAAAAAATTGCTAATTTCAAATCAGAGGGAAGCATACTAAAAGAAACAAGTAACATAAAGAACAATCATGTGTTGTTTCTAGAAATTTACAAAAGATGGATGGAGTTATGAGTTCAGTTCTGAGTCACAACAAAATAGTCATTAACTGATTTAGAAGTAAAAACAAAATAAAATTTTCTTCAAAGTGTATCAAAATATAGTATCAAAAACACGTCATGTTAGTAAATGATAAACCTCACAACGTATTCTAGTTGAGTTGAGTTGAATGTAGGATTTAATGGCACAAGGTCCAAAAAAGGACATACTGCGCCAAACAAACGGTTTTTTTTTTCTCAACAAATGTAAGATAAAGCATATTTGTTTTGCCAAATTACATTATATTGTTGAAACTATACATGACACGCAAAAACAATGCATTCTAGAGAAACACCGCCCCCGCCCCTTTCGTCTTTTCAAGTGAAAGTATTGGTTGTGCCTCGAAAAAGACCAATGATTAGAAAACTCAGTCAAAAATAAATAGGGGATAAAAATGTACGGTTTGCTACATCCTGCTAAAAGAATCAGATAGTTTGTTTTAAACAATAAAGGTCATTTACAAACATCATCAACAGCTGTCGCTGATGAAGAAAAAACTGAAAAATAATATGTGGCCACTTCAACTAATATAATTCTATAGTCTAAGGACTATGATTTCTGACTGAGTCAGGTTGTTGCAACAAATCATGGCTACTTTTAGAAAGAAAAAAAAAAACCTGGTTATTTCGAAAAGATTTTTTTCTGTTAGCAGTACCATCTGTTGACGAACTTAATAACTAGTTTTCCATCTTAATATGAGAATAAATACTTTTATGAAACCATCGGTTATCTAGGTCAAGGCTAAACTTGACTGTTAAGTTATGGAATACGGATCTAGTTTAGCCTTGTCTAAGCAGCACGATATGGCTTACGTTTCTATCTCGTTTCGTCTTTCTTTGATTTTTCGTATCGTTAAATAGTTCTTTAAAAATAATTTTTTTTTTTTTGAACAAAGCATTAATTTTTTTCTTTTTATATTGATCAGAAATTTGAGCTTATATAATTATAAAGTGAGTAAATAATTGACTCAGATCACCAACTATCAAATTCTTAAAAAAGTGGCAGTTCTCTTGTCTATATTGTTAACGAAATGTTTCTGAGTTGAAAAAATACACTCTATAACAAAAAAATCGACGCACCAAGAACGCACTAAGACGCGCAAAATCGACGCTCGATCAGGCTGGAACGATGCCGACTGGGGACGTATAGTCTTTAGCGACGAATCCCGCTTCCAACTGTGTCCTGACGATCATCGAAGACGTGTTTGGAGACGCACAGGGCAGAGGGGGGATCCTGCCTTCACTATTGCACGCCACACCGGCCCTCAACAAGGCATTATGGTCTGGGGTGCCATTTCCTTTGACAGCCGGACCCCTTTGGTCGTCATTAGAGGTACACTTACTGCACAGCGGTACGTCGACGACATCCTAAGACCTGTTTTGCTACCGTTCCTTTTGCAGCGCCCTGGGCTGGTTTTTCAGCAGGACAATGCCAGACCACATACGGCACGTGTTGCTATGAACTGTCTGCAAGCTTGTCAAACTCTTCCTTGGCCTGCCAGATCACCAGATCTCTCTCCCATCGAGCATGTCTGGGATATGATGGGAAGGCGATTGCATCTGGCACGGAATGTTGATGACCTCGTTCGACAATTGGATCGAATTTGGCAGGAAATAACGCAAGAGACCATCCGGGAGCTTTATCGGTCTATGCCACGCTGTGTGGCAGCTTGTATCTAGGCTAGAGGCGGGGCAAAACCTCATTGAACTTGTTACTGTAACTCTGCAATAAATTATTCAATTGTTCTGAAATTTTAATCACTAACTATTCTGTACATTGTCTTCCTTTTCACCAATTCAATCGGACAACTCCTTCTTGGTGCGTTTTTTTTTGTTATAGAGTGTAAAAAAATCTAAAATTTCTAAATTTTAAAAAGTACTTACAGCAGCGCTTCTATCGACATAGTTTCTTGCAGCCAGTATAAAACAAGCTTCAGCTGCATTCATCCTGTGCAGAAGAGAGAGAAAATTATAAAACACAGAACAGAAATCCATTTGAGATTTCTTTTGCATAATACAACAATACTCCGCATGAACAAAGATGTACAAAAGGGGGAAGAAATTAGATATGCGCATACTTTAAGTTTCCAGGTTTCTGATGTATTTTCTTTCTGTTAAGGCTTATAACATTGCTTGGATCTAAATATATCTTATTCAATAATTCAAAAAGTGCGAAGATAATTCTTTTGTAATCTAGCTTTGCGAAAACCATTTGAGAAAAATTTGAATATTTTTATTATTTCCCTGCCGCCAAATGTTTTACTAACCTTTAAACGTGTCGTAAAATAACTGGAACTGGGAATAATCAGTCATGTATATTAAAAAAAAGGAGTACAAATGGTAAAAACTTGATGCAAGTGTTTTTTTTAAAGACGCTAAGCGACAATTTTTTCACTAGCTAAGTCATTAAATGAATTTACTTATCTTTTTTTTATGAACTCAAAACCGTTAATTAAGGTTAGAGCTTTGTTTTTTTTAGTTCGCATTATTCAATTTTTTTATCGAAGTATTTTTTTATTTTTTTGCTGGTTCTAAGGATTTATAATCATGATTTTTTTTGACACATGAGATAAAATCAATATTCTAGTGGACGAGTTTTATTAAACGCATTTCATTGTCAACTTAGAACATCTCAAAATAGCAGAAATCAGCAGAATTTGCTGACTGATTGCCTAATGTATCAATATACGCTGTTAAGAAATAAAGATATCAAATATGGGGTAAAAAATTGATTTTAAGGGGTCTAAGAGGTTTTGATTCTATTGAGAAAAACTTTTTTGACTTTCCATAACTTATTTAAAATTTGCGTTAGAATTCTGAATTTTTTTCAGGTGTTTTTTTAAATGCATTTTTGTCAGATAATGCGAAGAACTTTTATATTTTAATTTTCTTCAGAGCTAAAATTTGAAGAAAAAAATAAGAGATACTATGACGTATTGCGCGCACGATAAAAGTTATAAAAATCATGTTAAGGACTGGAAATAACTTTTAATAGGATGTCTATCAAATACACTCTCTTTTTAAAAAAAATATAATAAATTAACAGAAAAAAAGGCATAAACATAGAAATTTTTTAAGTTTAAGCACTTTTGTGAAATACTGCAAATAACATTTATAATTTAGTTTTCATCAGAATTAAAATTTGAAGAAAAAACGAGTATATTAGGACATCTTACGTGCAGGATAATCATAAAAATCATGTTAATGACTTGAAATAATTACTTATAGGTAGTCGACTATGTTGAAATCATACTAAATGAAAAGATTGAAAAATAGTATTTTTTTTAATAAAAAAAATCGGATTTTTTACAAATAAAAATAGATTTGTCTTTATCAAAAAGATATAAATGTATAATATCATTCATGTTCTAATATCAATTGAACTACATGCTAATACTCAAACCAATCACTAAGTTTTAATTTAACAGGTTTATTCGAAGTCGCGTTATTTTGTGCGCCTTGTGAAAGAAAATGAGAATTGAAAAATTTTATTTTTTGAAATAGTTTTCATAAATTTTTTAAATATGTTTTTATTCTTTTTAAATCTGGAATAAATATATTTAAACAAAATACGTGAATTTGCAGACGATTTAAATTTAGGAAGTCTTTGTGATATTTTCTGTTTTCTGTGTTTTTGTGTAACTTTAGGAATGTTGTGAGAGCATTATCTTATACTCGGTGTTAAATTACTACGAATAAAACGGGTTATAACAAAGTTCTTTTCAAGAAAAAAAATTTAAAATTCTTTTAAGAAAAAATATCTAGGCTCCTTGAATACACACAATAAAAATAACTATGTGTTTCAGAAAAGACGTCTTCTTCTACATCAGGTAGTTAAAAATGACGATGAGGTAAAATGGATGGACAAAGCTGATTCTCACTTATTAATTACATTAGCTTGTGCTTCCCTTTTTTCTACTTTTTCATTTCCCTTCCTTTTTTCTCTTTCTTTCTCTCACACTATTTCTGCTACGTCTTTTTTTATCTTCTTTTTTTGTTCTTTCTTCTTCCATGCGTTAGACAAAATTTCCCTTCGATCATTCTTTACGGTCCATTTTCTAAAATTGTCATTTTTAGCTACCTGATAAAGGTAGGCACGTTCTTTTTGAAATGGGAAATTTTTATTGCCTAATACAGTGTCTTAAGAAATGTCGATATTTATGATTTTAAACAGTCATGATCAATGATGAGTGAAACTTTAGCTAAGTGTAACCATGAAACAGAATGCCTTAATAAGGAAAGAAACACGAAAATATTTTTTTTTCATACTAAAATTCATAGTTTGACCCACAGTTTTTTTTCACTTCTAAAGATTTAGACTTTTCCCTTCTTACATTCTAAAATATGTGTTTGCTTTTATATATACAGGGTGTTTATAAAGTACCGGACCCATTTTGATGTTTAATAACTCGTAAAATTATAAAGATAGATTAAAATGAATAACATAAATGGTTAGATAGACTCAAAAAGTTTCATGTCCCTAGTCAATGAACTTCCACGTGTGCCCCTTCGTCGCACGGAGAATATCAAGTCGATAGTCAATTTCACGCCAGGTAGCGGCAAGCATGTCGGCATCCACAGAGGCTATTGCGGTTGTAATTCTGGCTCTTAGGTCATCAATGTTCGACACGATCCTCCTGTAAACATTGTCCTTTATAAATCCCCAAAGAAAAAAATCCAGCGGCGTTATATCAGGTGATCTGGGTGGCCAAGGAATTGGACCTCCTCGCCCAATCCATCTTCCTGGAAAATGGTCATTCAAAGAACTACGAACGATGATACCCAATGAGGTGGTGCACCATCTTGTTGCAAAAAGACATGCGGCTGAAGCTCTTCTAGTTGTGGAAATACGAAGGTATTATCGAATAAGAAGGTATATGTGGGTATCATCGTGAAAAAAAAAAGACCTTAAAAAAAGATCTTGAAAAAAAGACATTAATAGTTTAGTCAAGAGAGCGGTTAAAATCTTTGGTCCCTTAATGTTAATTTTACTTTTTTGTGTATTTCTCAACATCTTAGAAAGTTTTTAAGCAAATTAAATTTCTCTTTGCATACAGCTATCCAGATATGTGGATTTCAAAATTATATCTAAGCATTAAAAATATTTAAATTTGAGTTTTTGATAAAATAATTTTTAGGCTTTTAAGATCATCTTAATTAACCTATTATATAAATACTAGGAGGCTTCGCCGCCCTGCTCGCTNTGGATTTCAAAATTATATCTAAGCATTAAAAATATTTAAATTTGAGTTTTTGATAAAATAATTTTTAGGCTTTTAAGATCATCTTAATTAACCTATTATATAAAGATTATTTATAATATATAAATTTTTTTAAAATTTAGCTTTCAGCGAATTATTATAAAAAGGATTTGATTTCTCATGCTTCCTACGCGCAATGATTCATCTAGCTAAATTTAAGCCGAAAACAGCCTGAATTGTGTGTAATCTTCTACTCATAACTTAATTAGAAAAATAATTTAGACCTTATAAAGAATTAATGAATTGTTAGCTTTTAGAAGGTAATTATCGTATTTTATCTTTTACCGATGAACTCATTAAGTACTTTGGCTTCCTTCTTTGTCTTTTTAAAGTTCTTTTTCTTTAAAAACAGTCATTAAATAGAGTCCTTTACACGTGTATTGAAATTTAATCCCGTTAAGTTTTTTTCTTACTTAATGAATGAAAACTTCTCTTTGAGAAAAAATTAAAAATTTATCATGTTTTAATCTCTTATAGTTTTCGTATCGTTTCTAAAGGAATTCTTCCATTAAAGCTAACTATGGCGAGCTTTGCTGTGACTAGTATTTTATTTCATTTATTTTTCTTTAATGAAAGGAAACTAAATTTGCACAAATTGGGAAAGAAACATATATGTTCTCGACATTAATCTTGAATATTCATAAAACTATCAAAAGTTTTTAAAAAATAAACTAAATATGTTTTGTACGCAAGCTGTAAAAACAATGTTATTCAAATGATGTTAGTGTTTTCAAAACACGAATGTTTCAAAACATCCATGTCCTACCTTCTTCAATGGCTAAACAGCCCGGGGAGATACCTGGATATTCTTTTAGACAATCCTATTTTTGGATATTTTCTTTCAAATTTTTTATTTTCAAGAAGTCAAGATCCCTTTTGACACAATCGATCTACCTTCCTTGGGATGTTTGTCGAGGTATTTTCCCAATGGATTTAGTCAAAGGAATTTTTATCATCTCTTATCCTGGTGCATTTTATCCACATGCCGCAGTAGTCAAAGCTAAACATTTTGCATTCTTAGAATACTTCGAATAATTTGTTTTTCAAAAATTGCAAGGGTCTCTTCATCAAGTGTATTTTGTTGCTATGTCTCTGATGCATACGTTAGTATAAATGCTATAAGAAACAATTTAATCAATATTTTACTAAGTACGCTTACAGTAACAAGTTTAAGAATACTAAGTATGATGGAATTTTTTTTCCGGTCATAAATGTTTGCATCTGAAACTCTTTTCTGCATTTCTTGAGTTATACTGTGGCTATTATTAATTTCTGATGTGCAAATATATGAAGACATACACTTTTTCAATCATGTGATTTCTAATTTCCAAAAAAGCAATATGATTCTCAGACTTCATGCAAAGCATGTTCTTTGTTTCACTCAACTAAAATCTATTTATTTGTTTGTTTTTGCATTCAGTTCTGACACACGTGCAACTTCAGAAAGCTTGGGTAGCCCGAAAAACAATTGCAACATCTTCAGCAAAAGTTAGCCTCTCGATTGACTTAGACTGAGTGAATAGTTTTCATTTGATATTAGTATGATATTTGATTTCATTTGATTTGAGTACCCTAAAGCCTTTTTAACCCCTTAACTGCCGAGTGAAATTAACGTGATTCACTCCCCAGTGCCACCGTTTTTNGTTTTCATTTGATATTAGTATGATATTTGATTTCATTTGATTTG